TGACCCTCATATTTTCTTCTAAGAATTTTATGACTTTATCTCTTATATTTAGGTTGTTGATCTTTTTTTGAGTTAATTTTTATATAGTGTGAGGTAGGTGCTCAATTTCATTCTTTTGCATGGGAAAATCCAGTTTTCCCAGCCTTATTTGTTGAAGAGACTATACTTTCCCTATTGAATAGACTTGACAACCTTGTCAAAAATCAATTGGCCATAGATTTATGGATTTATATATGTCTACGGACTCTCTATTCAGTTTCATTAATCTATATGTCTATCCTTAATGGCAGTACCACATTGTTTTGATTACAGTAGCTTTGTAGCAAGTTTTTAAAATTGGAAACTGTGAGGCCTCTGTTCTTCTCTTTCAATATTGCTTTGGCTATTTGGAGATCCTTGCAATTCCATAGGAATTCAAGGGCTAGATTTTCCATTTCTGCCAAGAAGGCCATTGGAATGTGATAAGGATTGCATTGAACCTACAGATTACTTGGAGTAGTATTAACATCTTAACAATATTAAGTCTTCCTACCCATGAATATGGACATCTTTTCATTTGTTTAGGGCTTCTTTAATTCCTTTCAGTGATGTTTTATAGTTTTAAGTGCACGAGTCTTTCACCTCCGTGGTTAAATTTAGTCTTAGGAATTTTATTCTTTTAGATGCGATTGTAAATGGAATTACTTTCATAATTTTAAAAAAATTGTTAGTTGAACATGTGTAGAAACACAGCTGATTTTTGTGCACTGATGTTGTATCCTACAATTTTGCTAAATTTATTAGCTTTAATACCTTTCTTGTGGATTCTTGGGGATTTCCTATATATACGAAATCATTTCATCTGTGAATATGGATAGGTTTACTTCTTCTTTTAAAATCTGGATGCTTTTTATTTCTTCTTCTGGTTTAACTGCTGTGGACAGAACTTCCAACACAATGTTGAATAGCAATGGGGAAAGTGGGAACCCTTGTTTCTTTCCTAATCTTAAGGGGAAAGATTTCAGTCTTTCACTGTTGATTATAATTTTAGTGTGGGTTCTTCACAAATGCAATTTGTCATGTCGAGGAAGTTCCCTTCTATTCCTAATTTTCTGGGTATTGATATCATGAATCAGTGCTAGATTTTGTCAAAATATGTATCTATTAAGATTATTGTGTTTTTTTTTTTTTTTTGAGACAGAGTCTCACTTTTGTGCCCTGGTAGAGGTGAGTGCCGTGGCGTCAGCCTAGCTCACAGCACCTCAAACTCCTGGGCTCAAGCGATCCTCCGCTCCAGCTCCAAGTAGGCTGAACTACAGGCATGCGCCACCATGCCCAGCTATATTTTTTGATATATATTTTTGTAGTTGGTCATTAATTCTTTCTATTTTTATAGAGATAGGGTCTCGCTCAGGATGGTTTCGACATCCCAACTCGAGCACTCCGCCGCCTCGCCTCCAGAGTGCTAGGATTACAGGCGTGAGCCCACCGCGCCCGGCCTTATTGTGTCTTTTTGTTTTTCTTGTTGATTAATGTTGTGTCTTCCAGATGGATTTCTATATATTGAACACACTTGCATTCCTGAAGCAAAAGTACCACTTGTCATGGTGTATATCCTTTCTGAATTATACAGTGTGAATTTGGTTTGATCTGTTGAACAATAGCACTGTTGTGTCTCAATACTAAATTGTCCATAATGAAGATTTTAGCATTTTAGTGATTCATCAGCCTAAAGACGAAATACAAACTCTCTACGTATTCGCTGAAGAAGGTTCCGTGGGGTTAGAGGTGTCTTTTTCGGTCACCACTGTGCTCATTTTTCAGTAATCTGGTTTTTAATTCATGTTTCATTAGGAGAATATGCGAACAGATGATGTTAAGCAAGCTAAACTGAATAACGGGGCATGCAGGACAGGTGCACACCAGTCCTGAGCTGCGCCCATGCAGGAGCGAGGTGCGCCGTTCGCTTCCTGGAGACACACCCATCTCACCGCGGCGAGCGCGTGGCCGCGGGCAGGGTCTTGAGTGGCTGTGGAGTCCAGTCACGAGAAGTCCATCCACCAGGAAGTTGTGAGGCTTTCCAGTTTAGGATTATTACAAGTAGATTGCGTGGATGGACACAGCTCATGTTTTGTGAGCATGGTGTTTGCATTTTGTTGAGTGTCTGGAGAGGACTTTGTTGGCAAGGCCACATTTGAGAAGCTAACGAGAGTTGCAAAAAAAGTATTCTTCGTATTCTTGGAAGAAAACTAGTTAAAAGCAAAATATGAATATGAGTGCATGGAGAGAGGTAGGGCGACTGAGTCAGTGTTTCCCAAACGATTGAAGGTGCGATACGGATTGCTATGGATGAAATTGGTGGTACCTGAAATTCCTACGTTGAAGCCTGAATCCAGTACCTCAGAATTACTTATTGGAGACAGATATAGAGGTCTTTACAGAGGTGCTTAAGTTAAGGTAGGTGGCCCCGTATATCCGTGAGACAGGTGCTTGGTATAAGAAATGACACAGGATACAGAGAAGGCCATGTGAAGAGACAGCAAGAAGCGAGCCGATCTACATGCAGGGAAGGAGGGGCCTGGAACGAGATTCTTCTTCACAGCCCTGAGAAAGGAGGCCAAGCGCTGTGGCCGAGCGAGTGGCGGCGCTGAGAGAGAGCGACCGGGACAATGAAAATGAAGGAATTTACAAGATATAAGAACAACGAGCCCGCCTCGAAGCGTGTGGTGCCTTGGAGGACCGCACAGAGGTCACGCGTCTGGCTCAGTTGTCTCTGCACGCGTCTGGCGAGCGGCGGGTGCCACACCAGCAGGCGCGGGCCACTCGCCGGTGCAGACGGCTCCGTATCGCCGGGACTAGCGGCCGGACTCGGGCGGTGGAGGTGAGGCGCGTACCTCGACGGGAGGCGTGGCGCAGGCCCGCGCGACCTCTGCCCCAGCGGTCAGAGCCTGGCGGAGTCACTCGCCTTCGCTTCCTGGAGCGGAGAGGACGGGTTCCCAGCGGTGCGCCCCCCCCGCCCCCCCCGCCCCCCCCCCCCTGCCCCGCGCCCCCCCCGCCGTGGTTCCTCTTCCCAAATCCCGGAGAGTCTCCGGCCCCCGCGGGCGCCCGCCGGTCCTTCCCCCGGCCAGTTTGCAGGACGCTTTCCCTTCGCAGCCCGGCTCGGGCGCCGCGGGGGCCTGAGGGCGGAGTGCCGCGAGGCGCAGGCCGCCTGGCCCCCCGGCCCCGGGGCCCCCGCCCGCCGTCGTGCGGACTCGCAAGTGCTCCCGCGGCGCGGCAGGCTTAAAGGCTGCGGCCGCCCGGTGAGAGCCTGCGCCGGCTGGGGTGCGGGTCGTGCGTCCCGGGCGGCGTCAGGCGGCGGCGCCGGCGAGGCAGGCGGACGAAGGCGGCAGGTCACGGGGGGTTGGGTTGGCCTGCGCAGGGCGGCGGCCGACGGCGGCGACGAGCGAGCTAGCGCGCGCGGCGCTGTGGCGCGAAAAGCTCTCGCGTCGCGCCGCGCGACTCGGCTGCCGCGGCCGGTCCCTGCCGCGCGTCCTCGGCGCCGCGGCCGGGCCGCCTGAGCCCTCCCCGCCGCCGCCCGTTTCTGCACCGCCTTCTCGCGCGCAAGACGTGCCGTCCAGCCTCTTCGCTGTCCTGGAGTCACCCGTCTCCGTGTTCCAAGATGCGAGTGCTCGTTACCCTCTGGGCTTCAGTGGCCGCGCGAACTGCGGAGCCCTGCTTCTTCGCGGGACCCTTGCGGGCCAGAAGGCGGTGGTCGCACAGCCTGTGCGCGGCGCGGGGTGGTGGTGGACGCACAGGCGTCGCAGAAAGAGGGCGCGCTGGAGTGTCCGACGGGCCGGGGCTGCGACGTGGAGCCGGGAAGGGGAGTGGGATTAACGCGGTGACGGGGGTGGGCCTTCTAAGTGGGATAAGCAGTGTTTGCAAAGGCTCGGAGGTGACTTTGAACGGGGTTCAGGATGGCCAGAGGTGGAGGCTGTGGGGGAGCGAGGCCCGGGCAGGGGCGGCGCCTTGGCGAAGCCATTTCAATAAGGCGGCTTTGAGCCCATCCTTAGGGACAGGGGAGGTTCAAGGGGAGCGGTAAAAGGATCAAGACACCACTGTCCTCTCAGGATGTCGTGTGTGTGTCTGTGTCTGTCTGTCTGTCTCTCTTTCTCTATCTTTCACTGCCTGTGGTGGGGTGGGGAGAGCCGGTTGTGTTTCTTGTCCCACGGCTTCTCTAGTGGTTTGGTTGGCGTTTTGGAGGGCACGGGCTGATTACAGTGGGGAGTGGCTGCAAGGAGACCAGAGGTTCTGGAGAGGAGCCTGCATGGTCCAGACGAGGCACACGACCAGAGCTGCACAGGCTGGGGAGAGACTTGGGGCAGGAGGCCTTGGTGATGGGTGTGGGGGCACGAGGGAGAGATGAGAAGGAGTCAGGGAGGTCTCCCAGGGTCTCATTACCAAGGACACTGGGAACTGTGGTGTGGGGTGGTGTCAGGTATGTGCTGGGTTTCAGGTATGTGGCCAACAGACCTGCCCAGTTGCGTTCACACGTTGGCCTCCACTGGCTTCACAGCTACTGCCTCCTTGTTCTTGCTGGTTTTACTGCCTCACCTTGACTGTTCTTGCGTGCCTTTCTGTTCTGGCTTTCCTCAGGGATGAGTCCCTTCCTCTCAAGCGCAGTCTACTCTCATGGCTTTTGGTGGGACTGATGAGTAAAGCTCCCAAACCCACGTTTCCGAGTTAGCAAGAACACTGAAGGCAAAACAGAACGAAGCAAAAAAGCCCACACAGTTGTCTCAGCCCAACTCCAATGTTCGAAGGTCACATGATGTCCAGAGGATAGTGGTGTGCAGGAACTATGTCTTTCCTATTAAAATGTAAGCTCCTCAAATGCAATGTAGAGAGTTTTGTCTTTGATTCACAACTGGGTCTTCAGTGCCTAGAACAGGTACTCAGTAAATGTTTATTGAAGGAATGAATTCCTTTTTTGTATCACTTGTATCTACAACCAGATACTCTTATCTAGTACCTGCTTGGCATACAGTAGACAGAAAAGTTTGTTGAATGAACAGGTATCCCTTTAATCTCTTTTCATATGCATAGATCTTTTTAACAATAATTAATAGACTTTGTTTTAGCATTGTTTTAGCATTGTTTTAGTTTTACAGCAAAATTGAGGGGAAAGAACATATCCCCTCCCACGCTCACCCTGTCCCCCAAAACCTCCCGTACCATCAACACTCTGCATCGGTGTGGTAAATTTGTTACAACTGATGAACTAGTATAGATATATCGTCAACCAAAGTCCAGAATTTGTGAGGTTTCACTCTGTGTATTGTACATTCTATACACCTAAGACAAGTATCCACCATTGTACTATCAGACTATACAGGCCGTAAAAGTCTCCTGTGGTCCACATATTCATCCCTCCCTCCCTGTAACTCCATGACAACTACTGATCTTTTTTTACTGTCTCCATAGTTTTGCCTTTACCAGAATGTCATATAGTTGTAATCATACATTATGTTGTCTTCTCAGATTGGCTTCTTTCACTTAGAAATATACTGTTAAGAGTCCTCCATGTCTTCTTGTGGTTTGATAGCTCATTTTTTAGTGCTGAATAATATTCTGTTGTATGGATATACCATAGCTTTTTTATCCATTCACCTAGTAAAGGACATCTTGGTTGCCTTCAAGTTTTGGAAATTACGAATACAGCTGCTGTAAACATTTGTGTATACATGTTTGTATGGACACAGGCTTTCAACTCACAAGAAACTGCATAACTGTTTTCCAAAGTGGCTGTAACATTTTGCATTCCCACTAGGAAAGAGTGAGAGTTCCTGTTGCTCCACATCCTCATCAGCATTTGGTGTTCTCAGTGTTTTGGATTTTAGTCATTCTAGTGTGTAATACTTTCTCACTAGTTTTCTAAATTTGCAATTCCCTAGTGACCTATGATGTTGAGTATCTTTTCATAAGCATATATGTATGGTGAGGTGTCTGTTCAGATCTTTTGCCCACTTTTAATCAGTTTGTGCATTTTCTTATTGTTACATTTTAAGAGTTCTTTGTATATTGTGAGCAACAATCCTGTATCAAGTATGTCTTTAGCAAATATTTTCTCCCAGTCTGTGGCTTATCTTCTCATTCTCTTGACATATATATCTTTTTACATTATGCGATCATGTGCACATTTTATAACTTGCTTTTTAATATAACACAAGTATATCCAATTTTGCTTTAAACTTCACATTTTAAAGGGCTGCGAAATAATCATCACATTTCCTCCTCTGTAACCCCACTCTACAGATGAAGGGAGATGAATGGTAATTTGCATAGGCTAACCCGCAGAGCTCCCGGACCCTCCTAGGCAGTGTCCCCACTGTAACCCAACCAGTGCTTTCCGCTAGGTCAGGCCGCCTCCCCTTCGCGAGCAGAGGTTTCTGTCTCTTCTTTTCTTTAGGCCTACCGATTCCCTTGAAACAAAATAAAAGCGCGCTCCGTTAGCTGGCCTGAGCTCGGGGATTTAAAACGTGGGAGCAAGGCCTGGCCTGGCGGGGCGGGCGCTCCGACAGTCCTCCTCGGCGGGAGGAGGCAGAGCGCGCAGTCCACGCCCTCCCGCCGAGCGCACTCGACGCGGACGCGCGGCCACCGACCGGCTCCCGGAGCGCGGCTGTCACGGCGGCCCCCACGTAGGGCGCCCGAGCACGGCTGTCCGGGCGAGACCGAGGGAGCGCGGCTGGACGGCGGGGCCACGGAGCCGGACACGGTGAGCGGGCGGGCACGGTGAGCGGGCGGGCGCGGTGAGCGGGCGGGCGCGGGGCGGCCACTCCCGAGCCCAGGCCCCAGCGACCCCCTCGTCCGGGCTTGGGCGCCCTGCCCCAGCTCGCCCAGCGAGGCCGCCGCGGCGTCCGAGCAACCGCTGACTCTCCCGGCGCCGCTCCTTCCTCTCCCGGGGACCTCGGCGTACGTGCCGCGGAAACGAAAGTAACTCTCGAGGGCGTCTGCGCCAAGGCCGTGGCCGCCGCCGCGGGCTTCCGGGTAGCTGCCGGGCTTTCTGACCCCGGCGTGCGCGCGGGGGCGGGGCGTGCGCGCGGGGGCGGGGCGTGCGCGCGGGGGCGGGGCCTGCGCCGGGGCGGGGCCTGCGCCGGGGCGGGGCCTGCGCCGGGGCGGGGCCTGCGCCGGGGCGGGGCCTGCGCCGGGGCGGGGCCTGCGCCGGGGCGGGGCCTGCGCCGGGGCGGGGCCTGCGCCGGGGCGGGGCCTGCGCCGGGGCGGGGCCTGCGCCGGGGCGGGGCGTTCCCGGAAGTCTGGCTGTCAGTTGTCGGCTGCGGCGGGAGTCGCGACGTCCCTCTGTAGCCCGAGGTCTGGGCGCAAGTCGAGAGGGCGAAGACCTGCACGACTAGGGTGTGGCGGTGGAATAGTCTCTTCGGTGTGAACGGCGTTATTGCCTTTGTAGGGACGATGGGTTGTTGCTGCAGCATCATTAAGAAAAAGTAGTGCGTGCTCTTGCCTAGCAGAGTTCTGTCCCTGCATGGGACTCTCGCGAACCCTTGGAAAGGGCCTTTTAGTGTTGCAGTTGGGGCCGCAGCTGGTTGGGAAGCCCGTCAAGAGCATTCCTGCGCGGTCTCAGACGTCAGCTGGCAAATGGGAAAGGAGCGGTCAACAGCGGCTGAAGGGACGAGTGATGTAACCCGAGGAGGCCGCTTTGGTCGTCAGCGGCATTTGCTTTCGTGAAGGCCTACAGGCTCTTCAGCGTTCGGAAGAGGGTAGGCTGCGTCCTCCTCTCCTAAGCACGCTACAAAGCCTCACATGGAGGGGTAGGGGAGGAGGTCTGGGTCGCTTGGCTGCTCCTTGGTGGGAGCTCTTGTTCGTCTTGGGCAAAGCGTGAGGCTGTTCTAATCAAGGGACTTTTACGTCCTCATGTCTTTAGGCCACTGTTAGTTCTTCCCTTGTTTACACTTGAAGAAACCAAGGCAGGGAGTGAACTTTGAAATGTACAGTGACTTAGTACTCATCTGCATCTTGTGACCAGGAAGGTGCACTGAGTAAGGAGGAAATTGTGATCAACTAGATTTGTGGAATACTGTGGGCTCTTCCATACACCAAAGAGAAGATGAGGCTTGTTTAAAATGAAATTTGGAGTGTACCATCGTTATTTTTACTGATAAAACATCAAAAACGATTAATTTTAATTTTCATCTATGTGCATTATATTTTGCCCAGAAATATGTTGTAGTTTCAGGATTGTGAATCTGAAGGAGTATTAAGAAGAATTCCTAAAATATCAGCTTCCAAACTGGGCAAGCTACTATGTAGTGCTTGTTAATCCATAACGTTTTCCATAATATGATCCAGGAATTTGAAAAAAGTATATAATTTCCCATGCTTTGTTTGGATATTATATTTTGGTAAAAATGGTTGACTGTATTAATCTGTACAATGTTGATTTTGAACCATATATTTCCTGTGTTTTTAAAACTCTGTACATTCTCTTGTTTCTGACTATAGTATACTCATTTAATGTATGTGAGTAAGGCTGTAAGATTGGGTCTTTGCATCTGGATTTTTCCAGAGACAGAAAATATTTGCTATCTAGAGAAACAGCATGTGTTAGTGAACTGAGAGTGAAAGTTTGAGTGTCAGGACAAAAGTTTGACTCCAGAATCTACCACATTAGGTGAATGAATCATTTAGCTCCAAATCTTAGTTTCTTCATTTGTGAGTTGAAATCAGGATAAAATTTACTTCGTGGGTCATAATGTGCTCATGTACATGATAATGCTTGTTAAACTCTTATTTCAGTCTGTTTCTTGATGATCATTTGGTTCTTCCTTGCTCAGAGCTCTTGTTTATCCAGGCAAAGTACCAGGCTGCTATAATTAAAGAACCTGACAGAAGTCCTTTGGTTACTTGGATACCTGAGTAAAATCAGAGTTCTATTAGCAGGGAAGAAGGGGGCAATGGCAGGTAGGCAACCAGCATTTTCTGTCATACTCTCATTATGCATGGTTATCATGGAGAAATGGGGACAAATTAGTTAGAATATTGATATATAGATTTACCCTGCCTTAGAAGGTAATATGTGAAATTTCTTGGAATTTTCCATTAATTTCAATAGAAAAAAATCACTTCCCTGAGTCCATGAATTAATATCCATTTATTCAAAAACATTAATAAATTCCATTAAAATCACAGAAATACATTATTGGTTGAAATTAGTATGCCTTCATTGATTACTCTGTAACATGGCTATGTACTAACATGGCTATATAACCTGCCTAAATTCAGTGTTTTTGTGGCTCATGTGTATCCTTCACTAAACTACTCACAAGGCCTTCCTAAGATACCCAGTGCTTTATAAGGTTGAACTGTCCAAGAGAGAAAAAGGGGTGGAGGAGGATAGTAAAAACCAAAGAAATCATTGGAAACCATGCAAATGGTGCACATGATTAAGATCTGACTAAACTAGCATGACGAGACTATAAGGAGAACTGACTTCAGTCAGGAACTGAGCTCACAAAGTCTGGCGGACCCCCCTGGAGGCCTCCTTCCCCTGAGCTCCAGCGCATACAGGTGGCGCTGCAAGTCCTGCTTGGTCTTGACAGATTTGAGGAGACGTGGCCTGGACTGAAAGAGAGATACCAAATACAATTCTTCATAAAGTCTTCATCCCATTTGGGCAAAAGATTCCAGGGCATGTTCCTGTTTCCTTACTGTTTGTGAGTGTTTTTTAATGTTATCAAGAATTCTTATACAGTATCATTTTTTCTTTTCTTTTTTTATTTCAGCATATTATGGGGGTACAAACATTAAGGTTATATACATTGCCCTTGTCTCCCATCCCCCCTCTAGTCAGAGCTTCAAGCATGTCCATCCCCAAGACGTGGGCATCGCACTCACTATGTTTGTATAAACCCATCCCCTCCTCTCCCCTCCCACCTGCCCCACACCCTACAAATGTGTGTTTTTCTTTTTTTCTTAACATTTTGGTTACATTTTATATCTTTGCCTCTCCTTAGCAAGGGGTAGAGTTATGCTCTTCCCCTCCACAATGTTCACCACATCCCTCAGACATGGGACTACCCCCCCAAGCCCTGAAAATCCCTAGTGAACACCACCACCCTTTGAGCACCATAGTGTTAATCAGTCAGTACAATTTGATGGCGAGTACATGTGGAGCCCATTATTCTGATCTTGTGTCACCTCGCTTTGGATAATGGGCTTAAGCTCAATCCAGGATAATATAAGCGGTGCTAGCTCGCTGTCATTTCTTAGAATTGAGTAATATTCCATTATAAACATATGCCAAATTTTAATAATCCACTCATGAATTGACGGACACTTGCGTTGTTTCCATGTCCTTGCGATAGTGATTTGTGCTGCCATAAACATTCGGATATAGATGTCTTCATAATAGAATGTCTTATGCTCTTTTGAGTAGATGCCTAATAATGCTGTTGCTGGGTCTAATGGTATTTCTATTTTTAGCTCTTTGAGGTATCTCCAAATTCTTTTCCACAAAAGTTGCACTAATTTGCAGTCCCACCAGTAGTGTAAGAGTGTTTCTGTCTCTCCACATCCTCGCCAGCATTTGTTGTTTTGGGATTTCTTGATGTAGACCATTCTTACTAAGGTTAGGTGAAATCTCATTGTGGTTTTGATGTGCATTTCTCTAATGATTAGTGATGTATGTTTGCTGGCCATTATTCTGTCTTCTTTAGAAAAGTTTCTGTTACAGCATGTATGTTTTTTGAAAACTCCTAGACATATTTCAAAGTAAGGATGGGCCATAACTTAACCTCTGCTTTGTACATGTTAATTATTTTAAGTGCTTTTGCTGTTCTATGTAATATTACCAGGAGCATACTTGTGCATAATCTTTATCAGCATCTCTGATTTATTAAATAATTCCTTAGAGTAAAAAACTACTGAGTCAAGGAATTATTCCTTTCAAAAAATATAATTGTTATTATAGACATAATTTGTGTTTATTGTAGAAAATTTGGAATATGTAGTAAAAATGTAAAAAAGAACATACAAATTACCATCCAGATGTAATTCTTGTTAACATTTTGGTGTCTTTCCTTATATCGTTTTTCCTGTACATTTATCTATATCAACTTACATATATATACACACAGAGAGATATATACAAATATAAATACGCATTGTTTTTATAAATTTATTCCTTGAAAACAGTTTTGAAAGGCTATATAATATTTTGTCTTATGAATATGCTATAATTCATTTAACTATATCCTTTAAATATTTTAAATAGTTTAATTTAGTTCTTTTTAAAAAATACTTATCCATTTAATGATCAGCTGCCTGTCGGGTTCCAAGGCACTGGAGACAGTACACAGGACAGTTTCCTGCCTTCTGTGAGCTTCATGGGAAAAAATTCTCAAATTACAGCTGTCTTAACCGTTTCAGGAGAAGAGTACATGGTGCTGTAAAAATGTCTAATGGGAAAACTTAGGATGGCTTCCCTCAGGAAATGCCAGTTTGCTGAGACCTGAAGAATGAGCAGCATCTAGTCAGGCAAGAGGTTGGGGGAGGTGCCCTGAGAGGGCAGCAGCGGGAGGGCAGGACAAATCACCACATGAGGAGGGGGGGTTGTGCATGCTTCTGGGATCCACAGCAAATGGAAAAGGAGGCGTGAAATCAATGTTCTGTCTTTTATGCCCTCTGTCTGCCCCCACCTCGATCTCATCCTCACGAGGATTGGTCAGTAGAGACCTGCTGAGCAGAGTGATGCCAGCTGCACATTGGCATTCTGGAAGCCTGGGTGGGCAGCCAGGCCAGAGCCAGAGCCATAAAGCAGGCAACGAAGACATTTTCATGTGTATTCTTTTTTCTCATACAATCTTTAGCAGTTTTGTGGGAGGGTCATTATTCTTTCATTTTGCAAATGAGGAAGTTGAGGCTTAAGTAAGTTCCCTGAGGTCACAGGGCTAATGAGTCACAGAGCTAGAGTTAACGTGCATGAGAGGAAGGTTCATGGTGTCCTTATCGGCTCCTGCTGTCTCACCTTCAGCCCCTGCCTCACCCTGGGCTCCTCAGTCTCACGCCGTTATCCAGGCAGCCTCCCTCAGCCCAAGCCCTGCCCTGTCCCCAGTGCACTTCTTCCTCAAGGGCACTTCCTCCTGCCGGGCAGTGTCTTCCAGCATCGTGGGGAAGGTAGCCTGTAGAAGCTGCCGTGTGGGCCTTGTTTGCCAGGCAGGCGCAGCCTGAAGCCTGTGCACACTGTAGGAAGCTGCTCCCCTGAGCCACCTGCAGCAGGCCACTGGACATGACTGTTTTCAGACCCCCCACAAGGTACTTTTTTTTTCTTCAACTCTACCCCCTCCAGCATTTTATTATGAAAAACATCAAAGTGCAAATTTGAAAAGGTTTTACAGTGAACTCCCCGATACCCCTTATTAGTATCTTCTTACACTCTTGCTTCATCACATAGCTGCCCCTCTCCGTTTCCCCACAGCTGTCCATCAGTCTGTCTGATTTGTTGATGCATGTCAGAGTAAATTGCAGATATCAGTACACATATGCCTACATAATTCAGCATGCTTACCATTAACTTGGGTTCCATGTGTTTACAGGTTTTCCTTTTGGTGTAAAATTGACAAATGCATGTGCCTGTGCAACTCCAGCCTTTACTCATACCATAGAACATCACCAGCACCCCAGAAAGTTCCCTCATGCCCCATTTCGAGTCTTACCCTGCCCATGGGCAACCAGTATTCTTTTTTCAACACAGATTAGTCTTGACTATTCTGGAACCTCATATAAATGGAATTATATAGTATATATCCTTTTGTATAAGGCTTCTTTCACTCAGCATCATGTTTTTTGCATTTCATTCATGGTGCTTTTTTTTTTTTTTTTTTTTTTTTGAGACAGAGTCTTGCTCTGTTCCCCGGGTAAGAGTACCGTGCCATCAGCCTAGTTCAAAGCATCCTCGAACTCCTGGACTGAAGCAATCCTCCTGCCTCAGCCTCCTGAGTAGCTAGGACTACAGACATGCACCACCATGCCCGGCTAATTTTTTCTCTAATATTTTTAGTCATCCAGATAATTTCTTTCTATTTTTAGTAGAGATGGGGTCTCACTCTTGCTCAGGTTGGTCTCGAAGTCCTGACCTCAAGTAATCGTTCCGCCTCGGCCTCCCAGAGGGCTAGGATTACAGGTGTGAGCCACCACGCCTGGCCCATTCATGCTGTTTTGTGTATTAATAGTTCATTTTTATTGCTAGTAGTATGCTATTGTGTTAATATACCACAGTTTTGTTTTTTGTTTTTTACCCATTCTCTTATTGATGGACAAGTTTGGTACTATTATGAATAAAGCTGCTTTGAACATTGTACAGGTCTTTTTGGGCACACATTTTCATTTCTCTTGAAATTGGAATTGCTGAGTTATGCTTATAAAGTGCGTTTAGTTTTATAAGCAAAATATATGCTTTATGAAATGTAAAATGTATAGGTGCTTTTTTTTTTTTTTTTTTTTTGAGACAGAGTCTCGCTTTGTTGCCCAGGCTAGAGTGAGTGCCGTGGCGTCAGCCTAGCTCACAGCAACCTCAAACTCCTGGGCTCAAGCAATCCTCCTGCCTCAGCCTCCCAGGTAGCTGGAACTACAGGCATGCGCCACCATGCCCAGCTAATTTTTTGTATATATATTTTTAGTTGGTCAATTAATTTCTTTCTATTTTTAGTAGAGATAGGGTCTCGCTCAGGATGGTTTCGAACTCCTGACCTTGAGCAATCCGCCCGCCTCGGCCTCCCAGAGTGCTAGGATTACAGGCTTGAGCCACCGCACCCGGCCTATAGGTGCTATTTTGATGGCCTTCAAAATTTCAATGAGTATTTCATGCCCTATCAAATGATGTTTTTCACTGTCTGTATTGAGATGCAGGTATTTCTGGAATATAAAACATCCGTAACCCCTCTTCTACCCTCCGCTCAAAATATAGACATGTACACTCGTGTGCGTGCGCACACACACACACACACACACACACCTCAGCGTGTATGTCCTGTTGGTATGCATGGAGTTTCTGTTTTGCCACAAAGCTCTTTTCCAGTCCTTTTCTAAAATGGTTGTACCATTTTATACTCCTACCAATAATGTATGAGAATTCTGGTTGCCTCCCACCTTTGCCAGTATTTGGTACTGTTAGTCTTAATTTTGGATATCCTGGCCAGTGTGTGGTGGTATCTTGTTGTGATTCCCCATAGATTTTTATTCTTCATTTCAGTTCAGAGAAAATGAATGAATATGAATAAATGGAAGAAAAGAAGGGAAGGAGGGTGAACCAGATAATTGTGATTTGACATTGCATACTTCACAGCACTGTCGGACAAGTTCTCCAAATTTTCATCCTTTTTCACATCTTCCTGTTCCTTGTAGAGAGTGCATTGTCCTTTTTATATTCCTCACATTTCTTTTTTTGTTCATAATTTGAACTTATTTATTTTCTAGTGCTATTCAATAGTTCCTTTACCTGAAGTTCTTTGTAGCCGAGTACTGCTATTTGTGGCATCTGCAGGGTCTGGCTCATGGTGAATTTTTTCTTTTATGTTTTATAATTTGGAAAGAGGGCTCATATTAAAGTAAGTTTTATTTGGGGTAATCCTGTCTGGCTTGGTGCTGTATTTGCTTTAACCTTGTAACCTCAGCATTGTCATCATTCTGTGACCACTTCCTGTATAAAGTTCTTAGTTTGGGGAGTCCTGGCCTCCTCTTATGAGCTTCAATTCAAAGCCCAAATCTGTTTGAAGACAGGCCCAAGGTTATGAATGCACACAGACTTGTTTAAATACTCCATGTCCAATACAAGACAAATACAGTCGTTTGTTGATAAGCTGCTTTTTTTCTAGTTCATCCTTTCATAGAGGGGTAGCACGTTGAGTGGTGCCATGTTAAGGGGGGAGTCTTCATTCCAACCCTCTTTCCATGCATGGCCTGACCTCAGGTTCTGTCTCTGGCTGGGCTTTAAGCCCTGATTTATAGATGGTGAGGTTGGTAGTGCCCACAGGGCTGCCATGTGGGCCACTGCTCACATCTGGTGCCCTGTTTTTTTCTGTCTCTAGAGTTCTTTTCCTTTCCACTGAGCTTTGCTGTGCATTTGAATGGATGTTTGCATTATGTTATCCAACACATACAGGTCCTTCAGTTGCAGGAGGGGTTTTAAGATTTTCTAGTGCTCCATATTGCCAGAAATGAAAAGTCTGAAGAAATAAATATTATGGTCGTCTGTGATTCTTAGAAATATGAGAAATAGCTCATTTTAAAGACTATAAATCTATTCTCAAAAAAACAAATGAACACCAAGCATGTGGTGGGACTTTACAAAAGTGTGTGTTTTTGCCCTGAGTTAGCCTCTGTTTTCTTTACAGGCAGATTTCTTGACAGAGGGGAAAAAGTATAATTTTGAGCATTCAGAAGGCAACCAGACATGTCCTTGGACGACATTAAGATGAAATCCAGTGACTTCCTGGAGAGGGAATATCTGGACAGTGGAGGCTTCGGAAAGGTGTCTTTGTGTTTCCACAGAACCCATGGACTCGTGATAATGAAAAAGGTCTACACGGGGCCCAAGCGCACTGAGTGAGTTGGGAGCAGAGCTGCCAGGGAAAGTGGCTGTTGTGGAGGAGTGCATCAGGGTGGGGGTGAGAGCTGCTGGGTGTTAGGATGAGACAGACGCTGGCGTGATGTCAGGGGTGATCATGACACCTGTGGTTATCACGGATGGGATTCCGAGGCTGGGTATGGCTAGTAAATAATGGAAGAGAAATGAAAGGGAAGGAAATTGAGAAAAACAAAAAGGTGAGGGTAGTGAGGGAGGCTGGGAGGAGAAAACAGGAAGTATCAGTGAAGACAGACTAATTCACTTCACATTTTTGGTGAGGACCAGCCCTAAGTATGAAAAAAAAAGGCAGTTCATTCCTGAAAGGTTCCAAGAACCCCCTCTTTAAAGCCATCAGTGGAGTGGGTGTACCTCTCTCCCTCCTTGTCAGAGTGGTTGGGAGAGAGGCTATGTTTTTTGTTGTACTGTCCAGCACAATCTTCTTTTTTCTTTTAGGGAGAGTTTCACTCTGTTGCACACGCTGGAGTGCAGTGGTATGATCACACCTCACTGTAACCTCCAGCTCCTGCAGCACAATCGTTTTTTTCAGGTTACATTACTGCTGTTCACATCCTTTTCATCCATTCATTCATTCAGTGGCTTCTCATTTCTTGAGCATGCAGTGCTAGTTACCGGGCAGGAGGGCTATAAAGATGAATGAGAAACTGCTCTGCCTTCCAGGGCTCGTGGTCAGTGCCTGGCAGAGAGCAGAACATACCCAGGAGTATGACCAAAGCACATGTGATGTGATGCACTGGGGCGCAGGCAGGGCTCTGGGGCGCTGGCGCTGCTCATCTCAGCATGGCTCCTTTCCCACTCACAGGTACAACGAGTCCCTCCTTGAGGAGGGGAAGATGATGAACAGGCTGAGGCACAGCCGGGTGGTGAAGCTCCTGGGCATCATCATAGAAGAGGGGAACTACTCCCTGGTCATGGAGTACATGGAGAAGGGCAACCTGATGCATGTGCTGAAAGCCGAGGTGCGGAGTCCCCACTGCGTGCACTCCTGTGCCCAGCACACGGGCCTGGCTCTGTCAGGGCTGCCATTTGCTGTTCATTTGCACCTCGCTGGTATAAAATAATCCCTTTGCGAATTGCTAATTGCTTAGTAGTTTGGATTTTCTGAAGTCAGTGTCTCGTTAAATCTTCTTTGCCTTTTGCTGTCCTAGAGGGGGTCTCCGTCCTCTCAATCCTGCTAACAGTCCTCTTGTCATGCACTGTGTGTCTTAGTACTGTAGCTGGCTGTCTACCATACCTGCCAGCCACTCTGCAATCCACAGCCCAGAGCTAGGCCCTGCCTTCATGAAGCACGTGGTCTGACGTGGGGTATATGCACGATGGATGACAAATATGGGCTGACTGGTGAAAGCATCTACACTATAAATGACTGTGACAAATATGGATTGACTAAGTTGTGTGCACTAAACACGAGTGTAAGAGAAGATGGAGTGTTAGTGGTTGCAATTTGATACCATTCAAGAAATTTTTATTTTAGGTTGAATGTAGAACATTAGTGGCGACAACACTGGATGAGATTTAAAACAGGAAAACAAAAATTGTTTACCCAAACCAAAGAATTTTAAACATCTTAAAAAGTTTATAAGCCTATTAAGATGAAGGCCTTGTGCTAGTTTCTCAGGAGTCAGGAGCCAGTAGGCTGGAGACCAGTAACAGGCAGGCGAGTGGGCGGGGCGGCGCCCACCCGCCGGGACAGATTGGGTGGGGGAGGCTTCCAGTGTGAAGAACAAGTAGGTGTTTTGAAGTGGAGAATCGGCAATACGTGTGCCAGGCAGAGAGAATGGCATGGAGAACTGTCAAGCACTGGATTCCACCAGAGCGGAGATTGTATGTGAAGAGTGGTGGGATGTGGCTGCCTTTATGGCAAATACTCCCCATTCTCCACCCCGCCCCCCACGATTGCCAAGTGAACAGATATTTCTTGAAAATACCTTTGGGAAGGATAAGATCATAATAAGCATGGGTTATGGTTTGATCCTATTGCTTTCCTCCCCAAACCAGCTAAGATCAGCTATTTAAAGCAGGCATTGTGATCAGGAAAGAAGGCACTGGGGGCTGAGACATCCTGCAGGATCAGGCGAAGACCAGGTATGCCAGTTTGGGCTGAGGCAGGAAGTCAGGAGGACCTGAAAGAGAGAAGCAGAAAGAGGGTGGGAGGAGGACCCTTTGCTTGCTCAGAATTTTTTCCTAAGTCCAAAGGCATCCCAAGGAAGAAGGGAAAAAAATATCTTTTTCTACTTTCTGTGTGATGGTGATCAAGCTGTCAATACTGTGGTTCAGCTACATTATGTCCTAAATATGGTTTGAATGGCAGACTTGGGAATCTAATGTTCATCATTAAAATTATTTTCCTGTTAACCAGTAACCAATATACACATACATTTTTAGGAAACATTCTGTTAATTTAATAAACTGGCTTTTCAGACTTAAGCAAAACTAAAATTTAATCACTATACTAGAAACTGAAATTATATTATATTAACATGGATGTTCATATAACTAGAATATAATTGTGAGTATGAGTAATGTAAGACTCTATAAAGACCTAAAGTATATTGCCAATACCAGATTGTCCCTAAAAAAAAAAAAAAAAAAAAAAAAAAGAGACATGTCGCCTCGGCCGATTAATCCCAACTACTTGAAAAACTGGGGGGGAGAGGGTGGGTGATGCCACGGCACTCACTCTAGCCTGGGCAACAAAGCAAGATTCTGTCTCAAAAAAAAAAAAAAAAAAAAAAGACCTAAAGTATCTGACACTAGGCCACCAAATTGATGTTAATTAACTTCAGCATACTTTAAGCATCATGTTTATCTGATAGATTAATTTTTACGTGGCTGTAATCCAGGTGTCTTCAAACTGCGGCCCACAGGTCACATGCCGCCCACCTAAGACATTTATCCGGCCTGCCGGGTATTTTTGCTGCCGCTACCTGTCCTGCTTAGCAGCCGAGGGCCCACGGTGCACACTCTCCAGCGGTCTGAAGGACAGTGAACTGGCCCCCTGTTTAAAAAGTTTGAGGACCCCTGCTATAATCAATGTGAACCTATTCCTTCGTATTCTTTTTTCTCTTAAGTTATTGTACATGCACATTATTATGACATTGTTCCCATATTTAAAATAAATATACTATCACATCATATGAGTATACAATAGAAAATGTTTGTTAGTGTATTTATTCAACCATTCATTCAACAAATATTCCAGGTACCACCCTAGGTACTAAGGATACAGTATTAAATAATACAAATAATATATGTTTTTTGTTCTCAAGGAGCTTAATTTTGTAGCATTTTTATATTTGACCACATTGCCATGGAATTTTTGTTTTTACACTGACAAATATAACATGAATGCCCTTAGCCCTGGAATGAACTCTCTATTGCTTCACAATCACGACAGTGCTGTGGGACGTCTGCTAGAAGGAAACCTGCTAACCATGTCCTCGGGTCCAGGTCCCACCCCTCCGTCCTAGTCTGGGACAGATTTTTATTCCTATGAAACATTTACTTTGGCTTATTTGATTACCTTTCCATTTCATAGACTTAATATCACTTATTTTAGATCAGTATCCCACTTTCTGTAAAAGGAAGGATTATTACGGAGACCATTGAAGGAATGTGCTACTTACATGGAGAAGGTGTGATACACAAGGACCTGAAGCCTGAAAACATCCTTGTTGATGATGACTTCCACATTAAGGTAAACCATAATCTTCAGGCTTCTAGAAGTTTGGCTAATTCTTAGTTTTAATTTCCACTGTAAATCCATTCTCGTAGATGGTAGATAGTAAAGGAAGACCTGGCTCAGCTTATAACTGGTGGTGGTGGTGCCAGGAGGCTCTACCAAGGTTTGAAAGGAAAGATGCAGGCTCAATGGAGTCAGGAGATAGCTGGCAGGGTGTGACTCGTATCTTACGGGAGGAGTGGAACTGAATGGGGTAGATGAGAAAACCTCTTTCCTAGAGTGTGTTTTCCTCCTTTGTTAGAGGGGCGATGGAAACATTCAAAACTTAACCTTGTTCACCTAGGAATGGGTCATTTTCCTCATCATTTTTCCCAGGAGATCTGTGTGAGCAAGACTCTCCTCCTAGAAATGCAGGGTAATGTGAAGATGTGTGCAGAAAATCCTTAGAGTTCAGATACGGCCTGGGAAAGAGCTCAGTAGTGAGTTGGCCATTTTTGGCATCAAAAAGCTCCGTTATGAAATTTGGCTGATTTATAATTTTTATTTGTTTACTTCCATCTGCATTAAAAAAAATCAGTTTCTTTTTGGTAACTCTCTTTCCATCATAGTAAAGGGACCAAGGGAAAGGGCTGTGTCTTCTGTCCATGTGAGGGCAAGGTTTAACTAGGGGAGCATCTCAGCTAATTGGCTTTGGCAGCAGGGATCCAAGCACGAGAATCTGAAAGGGGAGTGACATTATGGGAGGGACCCAGGGCCTGCTTGCACAAGTGTCCCTCTCTACCAGAAGATTCTGCTTCTAGCACTTTGTCCTCATCTGGGACAGATATTTTTTCCTATGTTTCTAAAGAAGGGCTTTGTTTAAATCAATATCTTATCTCTTATATTCTAGGTTAGAATCTGTTAATTTTAGATAATCATGTGCCAAAATTCATCTCCAAATGCTTGCTTGGGTTCCTGGAGGCAGACGTGGAACTGCCAACTTTGGTTTCTTCTTAACTGTGTGGTTCTGGCATTTTGTCCTGCCACCTGTCTCTGTTCTGTGTCTGACCTTGGTATTTTTCTCTCTGCCTTCTTGTCTGTCTTTTTCCTTCTTCCCATCCCATCTTCTCTTAGGTTTAGGCTACCAACTCAGAACAAGGAGCACCACAGTCCTTATCCTCTGTGTTTCTTTGGGATCCTTGGACACTTCCATCCATGGGCCTCTGGACACCATTTGGGGAAGTAGAAGGTGTGGTACCTGGTCACCATCTGCTACGTAAATCTGCAGAGAAGAAAATATTGTTTTCCCCGCTAGTCCCAGAAATAGTTGAAAAACGTGCACAGATTTGAATAAACATACTTTATTTTTATTGTTCATGTCAGAAATATCTTCTGGTTTTTGGGTTTTTTTTTAGTGCATAAGAAGTTTTTTTTTTTATCACGTAAGAATTGAGATACCAGAATTTCACGTGAACATTTCTTGGGGGAGATTTTCCAGATGGCTATGAGCCTATTCAGAAGTAGCTGTTATAAACCTGTCCAGTGCCACCATTTCTGGAAAATTCACTGTACCTCACATACATAGGATAAGCCCCCAAATCCAAAAGTTAAAGCCAAATCTACTTTGCTTGTAGCCTTCACTGAACAATCCCATTGCCTTTGTCCCTTTTGCAGATAGCAGATCTTGGCGTTGCTTCCTTTAAGACATGGAGCAAACTAACCAAAGAGGAGCACAATGAGCAGAGGAAAGTGAATAGCACATCCAAGAAAAATGGCGGCACCCTCTACTACATGGCCCCGGAGCACCTGAATGACATCAATGCGAAGCCCACGGAGAAGTCAGACGTGTACAGCTTTGCCATAGTACTTTGGGCAATACTTGCAAATAAGGAGCCATATGAAAGTAAGGCATTTGTAGAGGAGTGGGATTTAAATATTAATCCACATTATTACATGAAACAGTGGGCTTCAATGAAATAGTTAAGATTTATAATTATTTGTTCATTTAATGTCAGTCTTACCCACTAGACTGAGTTCCATGAGGGCTACGGCCACATCTAAGTTATTCACTGCTGTCTCTTCAGCATTTATACACATAGTACCTAGAACATAATAGGTGCTCAGCAAATTTTTGTTGAATGAATGAGCAATCCCAGTTTAGGAATCAGAGATTACAAAATGAATAGAAGCCTCCATAATGTACCTAAGCTTGGGAGATGTTGTAAAATTCCAGGGTTCTTCCTGCACAGGAAGGTTTCACTGTTTCTGCTCATGATAACTTAGCCTTTCCCACTACAAGGCATACACTTTATACTTTCACTCATTCACTTTACTCATTCATTCAAAAACTATTTTTTCCCAGTCCTGACTGTGGGCAATTTAGTCAACATTGAAATCATAAAGATGAGTAAGTTGTGGCTCGTGCAGGAGAACAGAGGCATTCTTCAGCTTGTTGGGTGCATAAGCTGATGGACATTTTCCTACACATTCATCTTGGGTGATTCTCAACTCCTGTGGCTCCCATCTATCCCTTGCACCCGAAGATCCTCCAAAGCAGCATCCCCCAAATGAGCGCAGGTTCTCAACACTCCCCTGCAGCCCAGCCCACTTCACTCCTCTGTGCGTGCTCAGAAAGTTGCATCTCCATGCAGCTACTGAGTTGCCCAGCCAGAAACCTTAGCATCTTTCTCGACTCGACCTTGCCCTTCCTCTTCCACATTCAATCAGACTTCAAAACCTATGAATTTGAGATACCTATATGACTCAAGATGCATCTTCAACCTGTCCAATCTTCTCTCTGGCCCCACTGACCTCTGATTAGTTCTGACCCTCCTTGTTTCTGCTGTGGGCTCCTCCCAAGGTCCACTGTCCCTGTGGCAGCCAAAGTGGTTGTCATAAAAGGCAAATGTGATCCTCTCACTCACCTATTGAAAATCCTTCCCTGTGGCCTTCAGCATACAGTTCAGATTCCCCAGTGTGGAAGACAAAGCCCTTCAGGACCTTCCTTTGCTTCTCTCTCTAGCCTTATCCCTTGCCCCTCCTCCCTGGTTAGTGTGCCACTGCACTGAGTGAGTAATTTCTGGGAGGCATCATGATTTCAGTAACTGCTGGTCTAATTCATGTCCCTTGCCTGGAATCCTCCTCAAGAGTCCTTCTTCCCCACTCAGGATTTGGCCATGAGGCAGGTGGATGTAAAGGCCAGGGCCAGGGCAGAGATGTAAAAGCATCTGCAAAGAGATGTTGTGTACCTGCTGATTCTCCTGGACTCAACAAAGCCTCCACAGACCTTCCATTCTAGGCATGGTTGTGTTACCAGAAACCCTTGTCCTTCCTTCTTGAATAGCAATTATCACTCTATATTTTAAGTCACTCTCATTAAACTGAGCTTAAAGGCAAAGGCTATACTGTATTTGCATTTGTGTTAAGATCTAGGGCATGCCATTGGCTTTACTCACATAATCTGTTTGTCTGTCTACCAGCAGGCAGCATTGTTATGAATTTTATCTTTCATCCGCAGACATTGAAATGCTGTTTGATCATCTCTGTAATGGAAGATGTCAGCTCCTTGTCACAAAGCCATTCTGCCCCAGAATGAGGCAGCTATATCACAAGCACAGCCTAGGCAGAGATAAATCAGCAGCGTTGTCCAAGTTCTGTCACCTTCCTGCCTGAGAGAGGGGCTAGACCTAAAAGAAAGTCTCAACCTAGACTCCTCTTTGCTTTCTAGATGCCATCTGTGAGCAGCAGCTGATAATGTGCATCAAGTCTGGGAACCGGCCGGACGAGGATGACATCAAGAACTGCCCAAAGGAGGTCATCGACCTCATGCAGCTCTGCTGGCAAGCTGATCCGGAAGCTCGGCCAACATTTCCTGGTAAGAGCGTCTTTCGTGACTCTGTAGGATGCGTCCCGTGTTGCGATTGTGCTAGTAAGATGTCAGGAACTTGGTTTGTGCCTTCAGAAAGCTGAGTTCCACTTTACTTATATTTTCCAACTGATTTTCTAACTGATTTTCTAGATTTCGAACATTTTGTTCAATGAAAAGATGCCATGCCTCTCAAAAGCATGGAGGCATATAAGGCCTCTTTTTTTTTTTTTTGTAATTTACTTTTTAAATTGTGTCAAAATACACATAACATTAAATTTAACGTTGTGACCATTTTTAAGTGTGCAGTTCAGTGGCATCAACCCATCCACACTGTTGCGCAGCTGTCGCCACCACCCGCCTCCAGGGCTTTCCCTCTTCCAAGCTGAAACTCTGTCCCATTAACCGATAACTCCCCGTCCTCCAGCCCCCAGCACCCCGCTCTACTCTTTCTGTCTCTATGGATCTGACTACTCTGGGTACCTCATATGAGTGGAATCACTCAGTATCGTCCTTCTGTGTCTGGCTGGTTTCACTTAACAGAATGTCCTCACGGATCATCCATGCTGTATCACGTGTCAGAATCCCTTCCCTTTTTTAAGGAGGGATAGTATTCCGTGGTGTGGCCAGACCACATTCTGTTTGTCCGTTCAGGTGTCTCAGGGCACCCTTCCACTGCCTTCCCATTCCTCTGCTGCTTTCCTTCTTTCCCCTCCCCTTGCTTTTTTTAAATTTTTATTTATTTTTTTCACCCTCTCATCCCAGCTTTTTATGACTTCAGAAAAAAACAGGAAGAGAAGGCCTCTTCCCTCATTTAGCTGGTGTCTTTAGAAGTGTGTTTGCTGTTTGGTTTGGCCCAGAGAAACTGCGTGCCCTCAGGCAAGAGTCCCTGGTGTCTAGTATTATCCTCCCCTTGCTCTGTCTACCTGGGCGTTAGTCTCATTAGTGTCTTTATCAGAGTCAGTGATTGGGAAGTTAAACTTTTGTTTTACTGCTTTGCCCACAGATTGAGGTAAGTAATTCAAAGACAATATATTGTTAATATTTTATGTTAGAAAATACTTAAGAAATTTAAAGTACTATTTTTTTCATATAGGCATTGAAGAAATATTTAGGCCTTTTTATTTAAGTCAACTAGAAGAAAATGTAGAAGAGGATGTGAAGAGTTTAAAGGTAGGTAATATAGCAGATGCTCAAAATATTAACATGTTGAAACATGTATTATCAATCATTGCAGAAGAATAAGAAAAAGAAAGAAGAAATATAAGAAAGAAGAAATATTGGAAAGGAAGAAACAAAACTGTCATTATTCACAGGTGATAGGATATGTACAAGGAAAACTCAAAACAATCTTCTTGAGGTTTTTTTGTTTTTGTTTTTTGAGACAGAGTCTCACTCAACATTGCCTGGCTAGAGTGCTGTGGCATCAGCGTAGTTCACAGCAACCTCACGCTCCTAGGATCTACCAATCCTCCTGCCTCAGCCTCCCGAGTAGCTGGGACTACAGGCATGCGCCACCATGCCTAATTTTTTTCTCTATATACTTTTAGTTGTCCAGCTAATTTCTTTCTATTTTTTTAGTAGAGACGGGTCTTGCTCTTGCTTAGGCGGATCTTGAACTCCTGAGCTCAAAAGATCTGCCCGCCTCGGCCTCCCAGCGTGCTAGGATTACAGGTGTGAGCCACCACGCCCTGTCAAAAGAATCTTCTTGAATCAATAATAGTTTATCTAAAAACTGTAAAATAAATACTCAAAGTTATAACATCAATACACAAGATCAATTATATCTTATTGGCCACAAATAGTTAGAAAATATTTTTGTTTTAAAGATATCATTTATAATAGCATACAAAATTAGCAGCAATAAATTTTATAAAAAATAAGTAGTAACTCTTAATCAAGAGGCATAAAACAAGACTTAAGTAAATGAAGAAATATACCATTTAATTATTTGGAAGTTGCAATATTACAAAGATATTCTTCCCAATCTGATATATAGAATCAATGCAAGATCTTCAAGGCTTCTTAGTGAAAAAATATGTCATAAAACAGGCCGGGCGCTGTGGCTCACGCCTGTAATCCTAGCTCTTGGGAGGCCGAGGCGGGCGGATTGCTCAAGGTCAGGAGTTCAAAACCAGCCTGAGCAAGAGCGAGACCCCGTCTCTACTATAAATAGAAAGAAATTAATTGGCCAACTGATATATATATATAAAAAAATTAGCCGGGCATGGTGGCACATGCCTGTAGTCCCAGCTACCCAGGAGGCTGAGGCAGCAGGATCACTCGAGCCCAGGAGTCTGAGGTTGCTGTGAGCTAGGCTGACGCCACGGCACTCACTCTAGCCTGGGCAACAAAGCGAGACTCTGTCTCAAAAAAAAAAAAAAAAAAAAAAATGTCATAAAACAGTACTTAAAGATCCTTTTAATGCTAAATATATATATATATATATATATTTGTATATTTCTAGAATGTGTACGCAAATGCATAGAGAATAAAAAGATGCACCTCGAGGGATAAGGATTACCCCTAGGGAATGGGACCAGCAGAGGTTCAGGTGTTGCTCTGTGTGATTCTGTGTTATCTGAATCTTTCAAAAGGACTTTGTACTTGCATACATTGTGTAATAAAAAAAATTATAAAAAGAAAACACTTTTATAAAATTAAAACAACATAAAATGCTTTTATGTTAAGTAAAAAGCAATATATAAAATGCTACAAAGTATGAACATAATTAATATCCTCTGTCATTCTCCCCAAATCAAGCATATATTCATTCAGCTAATATTTTTTGACCACCTACCTATGTAGTGGGTACTGCATTAAGAATAAAATACAAATAAGACTAGGAAAAAAACTTTAAGGAAAAATACCAAAATGTAAGCTTTTTTGGGTAAATGTAAAAACTATGGTAGGTTTTTTAAAAATATAACTTTCTACATTTTCCATAATGAATATTATTACTTCTATAAGGAAAAACATTTATTTTTTATTGTAATAAAATACACATACAATTTACTATTTTAACCATTTTTAAGAGTACAATTCGTTGGCAATAAGTGCATTCACAGTGTTGTACACCTATCACCACTGTCCATCTCCAGAACATTTTTACCATCCCAAACTGAAACTCTGTACTCATTAAACACCAACCCCCGCATTCCTTCCTCCCACAGTTCCTGGTAATCTCTGTTCTATATTCTGTCTCTGAATTTGCGTATTCTAGGTAGCTCATAGAAATAGGATCACCTAATATTTTTCTTTTTGAGTCTGGCATATTTCACTTAGTATAATATTTTCATAGTTTATTCATTTTATAGCATGTATCAGAAAGTTATTGCCTTTTATGGCTCAATAATATTCTACTATATAGATATACAGGTTGGGTATCTCTAATCTGAAAATCTGAAATTGAAATGCTACAAAATGTGAAACATTTGAGAGCCAACATGATACCACAAGTGGAAAATTCCACACCTGACACCTTTGCTTTCTGATAGTTCAATGTACACAAACTGTTTCATGCACAAAATTATTAAAAATATTATATAAAATTATCTTCAGGCTATATGTATAAGGTGTATGCGAAATATAAATGAGGTGGGGTGTGGTGGCTCACACCTGTAATCCCAATAATTTGGGAGACTGAGGCAGGAGGATCACTTGAGGTCAGGAGTTCGAGACCATCCTGGGCAACGTAGTGAGACCCCATCTCTATTTAAATTAAAGAAAAGAAACATAAATGAATTTCATGTTTGGACTTGGGTCTCATCCCCAAGATAGCTCAAAATAAAAAAAAATTGAAATCCAAAACACTTCTTGACCCAAGCATTTCAGATAAAGGACACTCAACTTGTACCACATTTTGTTTATTCATGCATCTGTTGATGGATACTTGGGCTGTTGCCACCTTTTGGCTATTGTGAATAGTGCTGCTGTGAACATTGGTGTGAAAGTATCATTCCCTGCTTTCAATTCTTTGGGGTGTATACCTAGGAGTGGGGAAGTGCAAGATCATATGGTAATTCTATGTTTAACTTTTGAAGAACCATCAAACTGTTTTCCATAGAAGCTGCACCATTTTTATTCCCTACCATCAGTGCATAAGGATTCCAATTTCTCTACATCCTCACCAACACTTGTTATTTTCTGTTTTTTTTAAATTATAGCTATTCTAATGAGTATGCACCAGTATCTCATGGTGGTTTTGATTTGCATTTCTCTAATGGATAATGATGTTGAGCATCTTTTCATGTGGTTATATTGGCTATTTGTATATCTTCTTTGGAGAAATGGTTATTCAAGTCCTTTGCCCATTTTTGAATTGGATTGTTTGTTTTTTGTTGTTGATCGTAGGAGTTCTTTATGTATTCTGAATATTCATTCCTCATCAGACCTATATGATTTGTGATTTTTTACCATTCTACAGGTTTGATGCACAAAAGGTTTTAATTTTGATATAGTCCAATTTATCTATTTTTACTTTTGTTGCCTGTACTTTTGGTGTCATGTCCAAGAAATCATTGGCAAGACCAGTGTAATGAAGATTTTCCCCTATGTTTTCTCTAAGAGTTTTATAGTTTTAGCTCTTAAATTAAATCTTTGATCCATTTGGAGTTATTATTTGTATATGGTAAGGGTACATCTTTATCTTTTTGTGTTTGTTCAGTTTTCCTCATTGAAAGGTCTTGGCAGTCTTGTCAAAAATCAATTGACCGTATGTGGGAAAATTTATTCCTGAGTTTTTTATTCTGTTCTGTTGACCTGTGTGGCTGTCTTTATGCCAGTACCACATAGTTTTGATTTCTGTAGCTTTGCAGTAAGTTTTGAAATCAGGAACTATGAATCCTCCAAATTTGTTCTTCATTTTTAAGATTATTTTGGCTATTGGGAAAAATTTTTTTATATATATTTACTACTTGTAAGATTTGTATGGAATTTCTGCCTTCTGAAAATAATCCATTCTTCTCATTATAATCTTCTGGAACTCAATATTTTCAGCTATATACTAAAGTGTGTATTTATGCTCCTAATTACAGAAAGAGTATCCAGACCAAAATGCAATTGTAAAGAGAATGCAATCTCTCCAACTTGATTGTGTGGCAATACCTCCAAGCAGGTCAAATTCAGGTAACTTATACTAGAGTCAAAATCTATTTATCCATTTATATGTTTGCTCATTCATTTACTCTTCTCTCTAAAATAGTATTCGGGACCATATGAGAAACAGAAGAAACTATAAAAGCGAATACCCGCTTTAAAGGAATTTATAATAATATTCGTGAGTCTAGTTACATATATTAGAACTATTAAGTAATAATGTGCTCACCAAAATCATAAAGCATCCTGAACATAAGAGGCATAATATATCTGATAGGGAGAAAGCGACAATTCAGGAGAAAGAAGAGGACATACGTGGACGCAAAGTCCCTGCGGAGGTTGGAGGTGACTAGATCTGTAGCACAAGCGGGTCTGGTCTCAGATTCAAGCAGGGATATTTTTGTCATTATAACAAAAGGGAAGGTGGAGTATATGATATTGAAGCCACTTATTAGCTGTCCAATCTGGGGCATATTACTTAATCTCTTCTAAACCTCACCCATCAAATCGTGATAATTGCTCCCACCCTCAGAAGGCTTTTAAAGAATGAAAAACAATCCACGGAAAGTGCTTAGGACTGAGCTGCTGTGATTCTTATTTTCCTCCCTGAGTCACTCCAAGGAGACAACCTCCTCCTCAACCCAAGTCCCTTTCTTCCTTGGTCATCCCTATGCACTTGCTTTTTCTTTTTGCTTGTTATAATTTCCCTAGTGCTCTCTTGCTGCCAACCAGCGGGTCCTACTTGTTGTCTGCAAGGCTTGCAGAGGAAGACCACCTCCAAAATGCTTTCTGCTTGTCTCTTACTTGTTTTCAGTGTGTTACTCTGAGGTAGAGAGTCATGATGGTGCTCAGGTTTTATTTTACCTTTTGCTGTTTCATGAAACCCATTCCAGTGTTGATCATTTCCTCTCAGCCACAGAGCAACCCAGCTCACTGCACAGTTCCCAGGGACTTGGGATGGGTCCTGTGGAAGAGTCCTGGTTTGCTCCCTCCCTGGAGCACCAGCAGGAAGAGAATATTCCCAGCCTACAGAGTAAACTCCAGGAGGAAGCCAACTACCATCTTTTTGGCAGTCGCATGGACAAGCAGACGAAACAGCAGCCCAGACAGAATGTGGCTTATAACAGAGAGGAGGAAAAGAGACGAAGGGTCTCCCATGACCCTTTTGCACATCAGAGACCTTATGAGAATGTTCACAACGCAGGGGTAAAGAGCTTTGCTTACCCCAGCACACCCAGTCATGGTGATGCAGTGCACCCGCCAGTGGGGCCAACCAGCCAGCCCCAAGTACCATACTGGAACAATGGATTGTATAGTCCACATGGTTTTGGAACAAGACAATTGGACCCAGGAACAGCAGGTCCAATTTGGTATCCGCCAAATTCAAGCCATATACCTAGTCTATATAAAACTCCAGTGCCTGAGACCAACGTGGTAGGAAACACACCAACCATCCCATTCACCTCCCTGTCACCAACAGGTAAACAGATTTTTAATAGTCACAATCTTATCCTTTTTTTTATTTTTCTGAAAATATAGCATTTATCAGCTCTGTTGTAGCCTATAAGTTAGGATGGGGACAAAGGACAAGTAAACAGTCTTTAGATGCCAGATGCAACTTGCCACTGTGGATTGAGCTCTGTCAGACCACTGGGTGTGGGAGTATTTCAGTTTTGATCTAGGGTTCATGGCAGCTGCCCTTAGGCGTTGGGTTATGGGTTGTTATGACTGGTGGGCATCTTCAACAATAACCTGTAAGATCTGTGGAGTACTAAATATTGGATTTACGCATTAAGTGAAATCTAAATCAGATATAATCATATGAGTGAAATGTCCTTTTGTTTCCTTTGTATCTTGGAATAAAATTTTTCATTAGTGTTGCCATATCATTTTATTCATTCATGAGTTATTTAATAAACATTTCTAGAATACTTCCCACTTTATGCCAGGCAGTTTTCTAGTCACTGGAGATACAACAGTGAACAAACAGCCCGAGTCCCTTCCCTCATGGAGCTTAAATCCTAATGGATGGAAGACAGCCCATAAACCAATATTCAATGTGTCATTTTTGATCTTGTGTCTGCAGAGTGACCCAAGCACACCAGTCTGGTGCCAGAAATTCCCTTCTGTTCTCACTCTCCCTCTGGTACCTGGTTCTGCCAATGACATACACAGGGATCCAACCCCTCACTAATTCTGAGATGCTGTCAGTAGGGGACAGCAGACTTAGATCTACAATAAGTAATAGAATTGTCTGTGTTTCTGCCCCAGAAGATGATCCTGCTAATACTGATTTAGCAAATGAACAAATTGAGTTTCACATTGCAAATTTAACTGATTCTTCTGCCTGCTTTCATTCTTGTCAAATAGTCCTAACTCTGCACCAAATGTGAGTGTTCTGATTTGCCGTGCCATATATGGAGGGTGTGTCTATCCAGTAATTACAAAAGGAAAATAAATATTTCTTCACTTCGATGATGTAGCTCCCAAGAACATTGTATTTTATTCAGTGCGCTGCTTCAAGTGAGGTTGGAAAAGGAAAGCTCACTGGACTGAGAGTTGGGAGACCGAGTTCTGTTTGTGCCTCTCACTATCTGGGTGACTTTGTACACATCGTTTTGCGTCTCCAGGGTTCATTATCCTCAGTTACAAATGAAAATGTTACAACTGAAAGTGTGTATATTACAAGCCCTTGTGTGTTTCTAATATTGCATTAGTTTCTCCATTTCAAAACTTTTATGGTTTTTCCCAGTGGCCAGATCTGGGCAGGAAGGCAGCAGAAAGCACTGATTCAAACACAGGCTGGAGGTGGTGGCCTAGGAGGTGCCTGACAGCATACTGAATAAGTGTACAATGCAAGAGCTGCCTGTTACTATCACTGTTAACAAAGAACACTAACAAAAGACAAATCCTCGAGAGCTGGCGTGCACCTGAGAGCCTGTTGCCAGGGATTCTATAGAATGCATTTAGAATCCTATAGAAGGATTCCAAGGACCTTAGTTTCGGCAGCTTCACGAACCACCCAGAGTGACATGCAGATACCGAGCGTGTGCACCGTACATTTCTTACACCTCTCAGCAGACAGGGTCCCTGGTTTCCTGGGCTTTATCAGAGAAAATGCAACAAAATGAGCATGGTGTCTGGTCTGTGGTCTGCCTAGGGCCAAGTGTGCTGACCAAGGTACCTATAGGTGAATTTCATTGACCTCCCTCAGAACTGTCTTCTCTTCCACCTTCTCTCTCCTACAAAGACATGCTGAATGTTCTTTAGTGACAGTACTGTTTCACAAGTTCAACTCAGCATGAATGTCATTGAGCATGTGCTCCATGCCCAGTCCTGAGCTAGCGAGTATACAAGAATGAGTGAACTTGCGGTTTCTATCCAAACAGACCTAGTTCTGATACAAAGCAGCCTAGGGCACGGTGCTGAGTCTAGGATTAGGGTGCAGGCTCATGGAAGGAGGTAGAATTTGTGTTGGGCTGTGTCAGAAACTCACAAGTAGGGAGAACTGGCAGAGAGAGTGGCAGTCCAGGCAGAGGGAACAGCTTGAGCAAGGGCAGGGTCATCATATTAAAGGATCAGCAGGAAACCTGGCGGGACTGGAGTCTCCAGAGTGGAGAGGAGAGGAGAGAGTGGAAGTCAGATCAGAGAGGTGTTGGGGAAGCTGTGACTAGCTTTGAGTCCTGACCTGTGAGAGGTTTGGGTGTATTGTATAAAGGGGGAGGACCTTAACAGATATTTGGGTAGTAGGATCCTGCGTGTAAATGTGGCTGAGACATACTGTGTTGTTCACCCACATCTATTTTCTGATTTAGTGGCAGTCACATTTTTTAAAAATTGTGGTAAATACACATAACATAAAATTTACCATTTTAACCATTTTTAAGTACAGTTCAGTGTCATTACTTACATTCACATTTTTGTACAACCATCACCACCATCCATCTCCAGGACTTTCTCATCTTCGCAAACTGAAACTCTGTCCCCCTTAAACACCAACTCTCCGTTCCTCCTCCCCAGCCCCTGACAACTACCATCCTACTTGCTTGCTTTATGGATCTGACTATTCTGGGTACTTGATTTGAGTAGAATCATACGGTATTTGTCTTGTGACTGCCTTACTTCACTCAGCAGATGCCCTCAAAGTTCATGCATATTGTTGCATGTGACAGGATTACCTTTCTCTGTAGGCCGGATCATATTCTGCTGTGCGTATGGACCACATCTTGCTTATCTCCTGATGGACACTTAGGTTGTGTCCACCCTTTGGGCTGTCATGAATAATGCTACCATGAACATGAGTATACAGATACTTCCTCAAGACCCCGCTTTCAATTCTTTTGGGTATTTTCCCAGAACTGGGACTGCCGGATCATATGGCAATTCTGTTCTTAATTTTTTAGGAACCTCCATACTGTTTTCTACAGCAGCTGCACCTTTTATATTCCCACTAGCAGTGCAAAGCGTTCCGTTTCTCCACATCCTTGCCAATGTTTACTATTTTTTATTTTTTGATAGTAACCATCCTGATAGGTATGAGGTAGTTTAGCCACATTTTAAAGAAGAACATTTTAAAGAGCAGCATGGGATAATTAAACTTCACATTTGTAGTAAAGCCCTGCTTTTTTATCATGGTGTATTTTGTCTCTTGCTTTTGGTCTAGAAGTGCTTACCAGTGTGTTTCTCTCTATTCAGACGAGCCTATAAAATGCACCATATTCAATAGTAGTGGCATTCAGATTGGAGCCTACAATTACATGGAGATTGGTGGAATGGGTTCATCACTACCAGAGAGCACAAACATGAACTTGAAAGAAGAGCCAGCTTCTAAGTACCAAGATATCTTTGGTAAGAAGCTCTTGAAGGACCCAGTGTCTAACAACCTTGAACTTTCTTACTTTCAAGAGGGATATAGAGGAATCTTAAAATTTCTCTGATGATTTTTTCTAAAAGTTGTCCCATGTTTTCTCTCTAAAATATCTGTATGATTTCCATATAATTCCATTGTAATTTACTTACTTTATAATACAGGGATAATCTCGGTATCTAATTCATGGCTTTGTTGTGAAAATTAAATGAGTTGATATGTGTAAAAAGGTTAGAATGCTGCCTGACACATAGTAAGGTCGATAAAAGTGTTAAACTTTCTTTATCACCATCATCATCATCATCATCAATATTATTACTCAGACATGGGGGAAATAGCTCCCTGAGGTCCTAATCACAGAGGACGCTATAAAAGAGAGAAGGCTATGCCTTCAACAGCACTCTGTCATAAAAACAAGAGAGCTGTCTCTTATAGGGTTCTACGATGTAGACCCATAACATTAATCCCAAAGTATATTCTGAGAAAAGCAGTCATGAGGCCAAAACAATGTGATTAAGAACCCAGCTTTCTGGTTAACCCTGCAATTGGCAATTTTTCTCTCTAAAGGCCCAGCTAGTAAGTATGTTAGGATTTGTTGGCTTTGAGATCTCTCTTGGAACTACCAACTCTGTCATTGTAGTGCAAAAGCAACCATAGACAGTATGTACATAAAAGACTATAGCTGTGTTCCAGTAAGATTTTATTTACAAAAGCAGTCAGAGGGCCAGATTTGGCCCACAGGCCATAGTTTGCCAATCCCAGATCAAACTCATTTAAAGAGTAGCCTTTAAAATACCTAGAACATCCGTTTTACCCTCAGGGATATTAAAAGAATACCTAGAACAGAGATTCTTAACTTTTGGGGAGGGAGCCACAGATACTTTGGAGAATGTGATAAAACCCAGGAACCCTCTCCTAAAGAATACTGGGAAAATATGTCAAGTACCTTGGGAGATTCTTGGACTGCTGACATCCAGTGGTGGCGACAGAGGTTGCATTACAGGGGTTGAGGAAAGAATGGGAGTTGGGGGGAAATAGGTTATTTTTTTCCTTTTTTTTTCCCCCTTGAGTTAGGGTCTCACTCTGTCACCCAGGCTGGAGTGCAGTAGCACAATCGTAGCTCATTGTAACTGCCAATTCCTGGGCTTAAGTGATTCTCCCATCTCAGCCTCCTAAATAGCTGGGACTGCAGGTGCACGCCAACATGCCTGGCTAATTTTTAATATTACTATTTATTTATAAAAGTGGCAGCATCTCGCTATGTTGCCCAGGCTGGTCTCAAACTCTTGGGCTCAAGCAATCCTCCCACCTCAGCCTCCCAAAGTGCTAGGATTTCAGGCATGAGACACTGCACCTGACTGAGATGTCTTTTTCCTTGTATTTAGTTTACGGAGGTAGGAGGAATATGGTTTGTTTGTTGCGGTTGTTTATATTTGTAGTTTTTCCTTGTATTAATTATTTTTATGAAGGGCTAAGATGAAGGGATTAGTAGAAAGAGAGGTTCTGGCTATGGAAGAAGAGGGGACAGCAGCTGGGGGGAGGCATAAGGGAAGGGATGGGTCCAAAAATGGACCTTAAAGAGTATAGACACCTCACCCTTGAAAGACAAGGGGAGGCATTATAATTGAATGAGCTCACACTTGATGGTCTCAGTTTCCTTGATTAAGAAAGATGAAAGTGAACAGGTGAGTGAGGGGAATCAGGAGTTGGGTGGCCTTGACTCTGGCCAGATGTAAGTGGAAAATGTCCCAAAGGAACAAAAATGGTATTTTTTCCCTTTATATCTGGAAAGGTCTAATATAAACAGAGCCACTGGCTAAGGCCCAACCTAGTAGCCACATAAGGGTTTTGCTCACAAAGCCAGGATTCGCCTGCCAGAAGCAAGAAGTGCCCCATTCTCCTTCACACACAGACTCCATGTGGGCGAGCAGGTTGTAGTGTCTTCCAGTGAGTCAGCAGCTGTAGAATTAAGAAGTTATCTTTCTCACTATCTCTTGGTACTCTTCACTTGGGTTTTCAGCAATTCAGGAAGCTAGAATGTTCAAAGGGGTCATAGCTTGATACCTTTTTCTTTTTTCCATTTGGCAGATAATACCACTAGTCTGACTGATAAACACCTGGACCCAGTCAGGGAAAATCTGGGAAAGCACTGGAAAAACTGTGCCCGTAAGCTGGGCTTCACTCAGTCTCAGATTGATGAAATTGACCATGACTATGAGCGAGATGGACTCAAAGAGAAGGTTTACCAGATGCTCCAGAAGTGGCTGATGAGGAAAGGCGGAAAGGGGGCCACAGTGGGAAAGCTCGCTCACGCACTCTACCAGTGTTCCAGAACAGACCTTCTGAACTGCTTGGTCCAGGTCAGCCAGAACTAGCCCTGGAGGGCATCGGCAGCAGAAGCAGCCGCCTCACTGGGTGCACAGCCTGCTGGAAAGTGCGCTGCCTAGGCCCTCCCTGAAATGGGTTCTGTGTCTGCACTTCGTAGCTGCAGAATGGAAAAGCAATCTGCAGTAAACAGCCACTCTCAGGAAAGTGTAAACCTTTTAATGTCCCAGCACCAATCAGAAGAGAGTGATTGGGTTTTGAAAAGGAGAGAACCAGGAAGGCCACTTTCTTTCAGCTCATGCCATGACCCACGACCATGCTAGTTGTTCAGCTTCCTGGAGTTTGAGAAAAAAAATTCAGAGAACATAAAATAAATCAGCTTTCTTATTTTATGCTCTCTTCCACATAGACTCCTGTTATAACCAAAGTACTATAAAATTCTAAGTCCTGTGCAGAGTTTTTGTGTATTATAACTGCAATTTGTCCCCAAATTAAAGGGTCTGTTAATGTCAGTATCAAATGCTATAAAGCACTACAGGCTTTAAGAATTACATGCACTCTCTATTATATTAAGTTATAAATTAATTTTTAACTGAATTTACATTTAGTTAATTTGTAAATTAACCAAAGAGATTTTAAAGGTTGGTACTAAGGAGGGGAAACAATGGCGGGGGGGGAGGACCATTAGAATTTCCCAGGCTATTGTTGCAAGGAATTGCTACTAAATGTGACTACTACAAAAATTGATTAATTTTTTAAATACTTTCCTAGCATTCTGGTACTTTCACCTAGCCTGGGTGTCCTGAAGAGGGAACAGGTATGCAGGGAATATTAATATCTTCACATCTGGTTGTGACTGGAGCCTCAGAGCTGATCACCATTAAACCGCTTCCTCAGTTTACCCCAGTGTACTATATAAATGTTTTTATTTTTCTCTGTGTGCCACAAAGTAAAAAAGGACAGCTTCCAAATCTGGCAACTGTATAGTCCTTGACCTTCCAAAACCAACCTGAAACCTGAAACCTGAAGGAACTATTAATAGAAGAGTAGGAGACTGAATCCCAGCAGGCCATCTGGAGTGTCTGCTGGTGGTTTGCTAAACAAAAAGGAAACGCCATGTGCTTAGCTCTGCCAAGGGGGCGGGCAATCGCAGTACAGTGATGGTCAGAATGGATTCTGGTGTCTTGGTGGTACTGGTTCTGATTCTGAGTCCTCAACTCCAGCAGACACACATGCGCCCCTGAAGTGGGCTGAAAGTAGTGTTTCTCTCCCTTGGCACAGCTGGCACCTTGGGCTGGGTAGTTCTTTGTGGTGGGGGCTGTTGTGTGCCTCATAGGATGTATGGAAGCATCCCTGGCCTCTACCTCCTAGATGTCAATAGTTCTCCTCTTCCTCCCTCTCTTAGTTGTGACAAAAATATCTCTAGACACTGCCAAATGTTCTTTGGAAGGGCAGAATCACCCTGGTTAAGAAGGCCACTCCCATACAGTGACATACCTCCATTCTGTTCACACATCCGGGCTCACCGCTGAGACTCCCCACAGAATTAGATCACGCAGGCCGAGAGGGAGATTGGAGGTTGGACAGCGTCCACCTTTCATCAGAGGCGCCTGGGTAATTTCTTTTCTAAATGTATCCCTTGTTCTGCTATCCTAACAGTGTTCTAAAGTTTCTGAAATTGCAAAGAGGATTGATCAATGTTAGATAAAAATGCAGTTTTTTAAATGAACTTTTTAAAATAAAATTTTATACCTCAACTACAGGCCATCGAGGTGATGTGTGTGTTTGTATGACTGGAACAGTTTGGGATTTTCTACTGTGCCCTGACCACTGAGGTTGGCATCGCCTGTGCACACGTCCCCTTTTCCCTCCTGCTGCTGGCCCCAGAGAGGAAGCTGACGGTAAAAAAATCCCAGATCATTTCGGCCCCCGTGATGAGAGACCTGCAGCACTGCTGTCCTTCCCACAGGGCTCCGAGGCCTTCCCCATCTCTCAACACGCAGAAAAGAACCAAGCGTGCCTCTGCAGGGGTTAGGACCCAGCTGTTCGTGGGCAGAAACCAAGTAAGCAGGACACCGAATAGAAAATGAGAAAGAAGACAATCCAAACTTGGTTCCAAGAAAGATGTTCACACCCTGGGGTTATTAGTGGTAAACAAGACCCAATTCCAGCCTCCACGTCTTGATGGGCAGATTTGCCACTTGTCACTATAGTCATAATCTTCACTTTGGGTTTATCATGTGAAGTTAGAGCTTCAGGAATAAGAAAAGGAGCTCTTCTTCACAATGTTTTAGATAGTATTTTGATGTACATTTTAACGGGTGTTATAAGGAAAAGGTTTTTCTAATAGTGTAAATAGGAGTGTAAATATTTAAGATTTTAGAAGCAGCTGATTACAAAGAAATCATTGAAGAGCTACTACAGTGAGTTCTATAGTATGTAATAATCCAAGTGTTGGATTTTGAAATTAAACAGATTTAAATTCCCCCTTGCCACTCTTCAGCTGTGTAATGTAGGGCTTGCTTCCTAACCCCTTCTAGCCTCAGTTTCCTCATCTATAAATGAGGAGGCAACAGCACACAAAGTTGATGTGAGGATTAAAATCAAATGATGCATCTTAAGGTGTCTGGCACCAAAATGGCAGTTATTTTTTAAACGGTACAATTGTGTTATGCATAAAGAACTAGTTCTCATGTGTGTACTTAAACCATGACACCAATAACCTAAAAACTCAGTGCTACTATTTTTGCTTAGTACTAGGGTAACATGTTGAAATTTTACAGACAACTATATTTAACCCTCATCATCTCTGACAAGAAATCTCAATCAACATTTCAGAAAAAAGGAAATACTGACCTCACTAAAGATTTCTGAAAGTCAAATGATCAAAGACAATTCAAACAATATAATGTTTGAATATATAAATTTAACTTTCCTTCTATGTGGAAATTAATGTAATAATAGATTTATGTTGAAAATAGAATATAAACTTTTTGCATATTCTGTATTTAGGCCCAAACTGCCTTTACTGCTCAAGAAACTCCAATGGGCCAGTGAGGACCCTGCAGGTAATAGAACTTTCCACAGCTGTAGCACTTAAAGCACAGAACCATGATACAACAAGGGTCTCCTGGAGGAAAAATAATGCAATCTGCAAAGAAGCTGTTGTCTCCAATAATCCAAGCCAAGGCTACAACAGTAACCATGAGTCTGCTAGTTACTTCCACTTAAGGTAGCCAGAATGGTAGCCAGACTTAAAGGGATAGTTTTTCTACCACTGACCTTTCAATTGTATAGAATGTCTATAACCTTTACAAAGCTTGAATTATATAGTCAAAAAACCATTGTGATAAAATACACAAAAACTTAGTACAAACCACTTTTAAGTATGCAGTCAGTAGCATGAAATACATTCCCAGTGTTGTGCAGCCATCACCACCATCCATCTCCAGATTGCTCATGTTCCCAAACTGAAAGTCTGACCCATGAGACACCACCTCCCGTCCTCTCTTCCCCTCCACCCCAGCAACCGCCATTCTACTGTCTGTCTGTCTCTATGATTTGGCCACTCTAGGAACCTCAGAAGAGTGGAATCATACAGCATTTGTCTTTTTCTGTCTGGCTTACTTCGTTTAGCATAATGTCCTCCAAGTTCATCCATGTTGTATGTGTCAGAATTTCCTTCTTTTTTAAGGCTTAATAATATTCCATTGTACAGATAGAGCACATTTTGGTTGTTCATTCATTTGTTGGACACTTGGGTCGCTTACACCCTTTTGGCTATTGCGAAATACGCTGCTGTGAACATGGGTATAGAAATATTTCTTCAAGACTCTGCTTTCAATTCTTTGGGGTATATACCCGGAAGTGGAATTGCTGGATCATACGGTAATTCTAGGTTTAATTTTTTGAGGAACTGCAGTACTGTTTACCGCAGTGGTTGCACCATTTTACATTCCCACCAGCACTGCACAACCGTCCCAATCTCTCCACATCTTCACCTGCACTAATTCTGAGATTTTTGCTAGTAGCCACCCTAAGGGGTATGAAGTGGTATAAAAAAAAGATATACAGAGCCCATCATTCCTAAAAGCAAGTGCACTTCACCCCACCCTTAGCAGCCAGCCACAGGGCCGAGTCCCCACCGGCGCCTCCCGAGCCCCGGGCCGGACGCCCACCCTCGAAGGATGGCGGGCGGCCTCGCCCCCTGGAATGGCCACGGTTGCCGCAGGGACAGGCGGGGCGGGCGGCGCTCGCTGGACCACCACCGCGGAGCCAGGGCTGACGCAGAGAGGACTGCCGGCAGCCGGGGAGGGCGCCGACCCATTCCAGGACTGGCGCACTCCAAGCCGGGTTTCTGTACGTCCTAGGCCCGCGGCGGGAGGGGCGGGGCTTCGGAGGGGGCGGGCAGAAAGGGGGGCTACGGGACAGACAGGGGTGTCGAAGCGGGCCGGCTGTGGGCGGGGCGTCGAAGCGGTCTGGCTGTGGGCGGGGCGTCGAAGCGGTCTGGCTGTGGGCGGGGCGTCGAAGCGGTCTGGCTGTGGGCGGGGCGTCGAAGCGGGCCGGCTGTGGGCGGGGCGTCGAAGCGGTATGGCTGTGGGCGGGGCGTCGAGGCGAGGCGGGGCGGGCCCAGGTCTGCGCGGGCCGCAGGGCAGACGTCCCCTGCGCGGCTGGAGCTCGGACATGGCGGCCGCGCTGGGGTGCGCGGGCGTGCTGCGGCTGTCCCTCTCGGCGCTGAAGCCCGGGATGCAAGTCCCCCGCGCCGGGCCCGCGGCGGCGTTCGGGTAACGGCGCCTGCCCCATCGGCAGGCTCCTGCGTCGGCGCGCTCCGGGGCGGCGGGAGGGGCGGGCGCCGGCCGCAGGTGGGCTGAGGGCGCGGAGAGGCCCGGGCGCGGCTGGCTGCTGGCGCGCCCTTCAGCTCCCCTGGCTCTGTTGAGGCTTCAGTCCGCAGTCCCGAGTCGCCTGACGCGTCTCTGGTTGGCTGATCTCGAACTGTAATGTGCAAAAGAGCCATCTTGCGAATCTACGGAGATGAGAGGCCTGGGCCTCACTCTCAGATCCTGGAGGGTCTGAGTGAGGTGTGTGTGTGGACGCACTCGGGAAGCTGCTTTTTGCTCTTTTGTCCTCCCTCCCCTCCCTCCGTTTCAGATAAAACAATAACGACCCAAACTGAATTAATCTCTGACCTGCCGCCTTGATAGTGGGTACTGTTGGTTTCTAGAGATTCTGGGTAGAAATGTGGATAAAGCAGCATGAAGCTCGCTTTATTTTCTACACACACACAAATGTTCACAATGGGCCCGGCGGGTGGCTCACGCCTGTAACCCTAGCACTCAGGGAAGCTGAGGCGGGCAGATCGCTCAAGGTCAGGAGTTCGAAACCAGCCTGAGCAAGAGCAAGACCCCATCTCTACTGAAAATAGAAAGAAATTAATTGGCCAACTAAAATTATATAGAAAAAATTAGCCGGGCATGGTGGCGCATGCCTATAGTCCCAGCTACTCAGGAGGCTGAGGCAGGAGGATTGCCTGAGCCCAGGAGTTTGAGGTTGCTGTGACCTGGGCTGACACCATGGCACTCTAGCCTGGGCAACAGAGTGAGACTCTGTCTCAAAAAAAAACTAAAACAAAAACCAGCCTGAGCAAGAGCGAGACCCCGTCTCTACTATAAATAGAAAGAAATTAATTGGCCAACTGATATATATAAAAAATTAGCCGGGCATGGTGGCGCATGCCTGTAGTCCCAGCTACTCGGGAGGCTGAGGCAGAAGGATCACTCGAGCCCAGGAGTTTGAGGTTGCTGTGAGCTAGGCTGACGCCACGGCACTCATTCTAGCCAAAAAAAAAAAAAAAAAAAAAAAAACTAAAACAAAAAAACCAAAACAAATGTACACAATGCATGTGTGCAATTAACTGTCGATGGGTCAATTCCATTAGTGGAAAAAAGTCAAATGCTAGGTAGGTATTTAGAACTACTTGATCGACTGTAGAGACTTCTAGATTGAGAACTTAATCTGGAATGAGAAAGGAAGGGAAATCTGAACAGCTTTTAAATTTTTATATGATTAACTAGCTCTTGAGTTTCATATTTCATTTAGGTTCTTATTTAGGAATCATTAGAAGATTTTCAGGACTATTTTGATAGATGGAAAAACATGTCTATGGCCACGGCTATATACATCAACAGTGAAAAACGGGCACTTCATCCAGTTTCCTGTCTGCAGAAAGGGATTGAAATCAGGTTATAGGGATTGTACCAATATCACAGTTTTGATAGATTATTTGATGATTGCAGGAAAGCCCCATCTGCCTAGCTACACTACAGATCATTCTTTCTAAAACAGGTCTGAAAAACAGGTTTCTCTGGATTTTGTACTGCCATTTTATAAATGCAGCTGCGAATTGATATGACATGTAATCTGGGAAAACAAGCATGGGAATTGTTTCATCCTGAATCAAGGCTGCAGCCCAACATAAGTAGATAAATAAATACTTTGCTTCAAAACAGCCATGCCCAACCTACAATTGAGGTGTGTTCCAAAAATGTGTTTAAGTCTTTTGTTTAGAACTTTGACCCTGTTCTTACATGATCTGGAAGGTAGTTTATTTCTGGGTCAAGTCAAAAAGCCTTTTCGATCTGAAATTGTATGTTATGTACAGTTATTATATCAATAACTTACAGAACATAACAGTCTACCCGAAGAAAAATATTTTCCCTGCCGGAGAATCAGAGACCATCCTTCCACTGATGCCTGCCACCACCCTCTATCTGGCAGTACCTGAGCCCTACTGAGGACTCTGTTCTTCCATGAGGTTAGAGAGGAGTCATGGTCTTTGGAGTTCTAATGGCCATGTTGCCACTTCTTAGCTCGGCAAATGTGTGCACGTTACTCAACCTCTCTGAGCCTCCTGCCTTGCAGAGTTTTTGTGAGGATTTGAAACACCAAATGTAAAAGACCCGGGACATAATGAATACTAAGTAATTAGTAGGTATAATTGGAATATCTAAATAATAATACAATATATAAAAGATGTAAAAATCATAAAAATGCATATAAATTTCAAGCCCTGGGATTAGTTAATGCTTTATTGTGGCTAATGACTACTTTGGAAAAAGAAACAGCTGAATATATACTACTGTATGAAGACTTTCCAAAATGATGGTGTGTCAGGCAAATTACCTGATCCTCAGGCTATTCAATGGTTAAAATCAGGTTAAGTATACTGTGCACTTCAGAGCAAAATGAGTGGGCTAGGTGAAGTTCCTAGAGTGCATGACACATAGTCCCAAAGGTTAGCTTTAGTTTAGTTATTTGCCACACTGTTACATCCTTGCCTTTCCTAACAGTATACTCTGCCTCTTTGAGGGGAGCAGCTCAGCCCCCTCACTACTGTTGTAAGGTAATCCTTTCCTTTCACAAAATTGCCTGCTCAGCCTTTCAGAAAGAGAGGGGCTAGGATAAACACAAGGTAGGAAGGCATGCTTTAAAAGGGAGACAGGATTTTTTTTCCTCCAAGAAATTAACTCAGTCATTCTCAACCTTGGTTGCCTATTAGAATCTGGGTAATTTAAAAAATGTAGATGTCTGGCTCCCACCCCAGAAATTTTTGTTTTGAGACAATATCTCGCTCTGTCACCCTGGCTTAGAGTATAGTGGTGTCGTCCTAGCTTACTGCAACCTCATGCTCCTAGGCTCCAGCAATCCTCCTGCCTCAGCCTCCCGAGTAGCTGGGACTATAGGCGTGTGCCACGATCCCTTGCTGATTTTTTCTATATATATTAGTTGGCCAATTAATTTCTTTCTGTTTTTAGTAGAGACGGGGTCTTGCTCTTGCCTGCCTCGGCCTCCCAGAGTGCTAGGATTACAGGCGTGGGCCATTGCACCCGGCCTCCCTTGCTGATTTTTCAAAAGTTTTTTAGAGATGGGGTCTTGCTATGTTGCCCTGGCTGGTCTCAGACTAATAGGCTCAAGCAGTCCTCTCACCTTGACCTCCCAAAGTACTGGGATTACAGGCATGACCACCACACCTGGCTCCTTTTTCTTATGTTTGAAATTGATTTGCTTTTATTCATAAATAATCCTCTGTCCTTTTGCCCCCAAATTGGAGATTCATGAAAGGTTTTTGGCAGCCTGCATTAACCCCAGGGCATGGGCCGATGTGATAATGGCAGGTACTCTGGTGATGGATGATGGACATGAAGGATGTTGATGACAGAGCACCCAGGACATTCTCTTTCCCCTTAGCCTAGCTGCAAAGCCCTGCACAATTTGGCCCCAGCCTTGGCTCGTGCTTTGACTTCACACTCCAGCTAGCTTGTCCCCACAGATGGCTCTTGCTCCTGGGCCTGTTACCATGCTATTTCTTCTTCAAGAAATGCCCTCCCCACCATATTCTTTTTTCAGAGTTTTACCCATCTTTGCAAGTTCATCTCAAATGCTACTTTTTCTCTCTTCTTAGATATCTCTACCCAGCCCTGATATGACCTCTCTGTCTATCCTCTGAAGCCACTTTGCAAGGTTTCTGCCTTTGTAAATACTTCCCCAACATTGAGTTCCCATTATGCTGAGCTCTAAACTACCTGGTTTTGTTTCTGTTTTATTTTTAGGCAACCAAAAGAATATGGGATGGCAGTAATTAGAAAAAAAAATGCAGTTTGGAATGGGAAATTGAAACATAGATACAGCAAAGTGCAGAGGGAAGTTAGAGGGTTTTGGCAGAAGAGACTTGGGAATGAACATGGGAGCTGAAGGAAAGAAGCCTATGTGAGCTGGTGCCCTGGTGCTGGCTCAGAGAGTGTGAGGCAGCAACACCAGGTCCCAGAAACGGACCAGCTTTGGATGGTGAGAAGGAGGGAGAGGGGCTTCTCGTTACACCTGATAGCCTCATGGTGCAAAAGACTTTTACAAGCATGTCCTCAGCACTTCAGGGAAGGGAGCCCCTAACAGATCTCTCGCACACAAGGAGTAATACAGAAAAAGGATGGTATCATGCACATTATTACTAACATGAGCCAGGTAAATGCTGGTCGTCTGTTTAGGGAGTTGCCTCATTTTATTTAGTAAACACAGGAAATACTGTTAAGAACTTTCATGCCCTCTTGGTACCTCGAGCTCTTCCTTTCTTCAGTCATAACAGCCTCCCTGAGGGTCTGCAGAGCAAATCCTCTGTCTTTATCTTCTTTCCTACTGGACTGTGGACAAAGCAGACACACCAATACACAAATGTTTGCTGAAATGAGTCTTTCTCAGTAGAGTGTGTTTATTTGCCTCTGTCTTGATCCTCAGCTATCTAAAGCCGTCTTAACCACAGAGATGAATTCCTCAGAGCAATAGGATGTTAATAATAATCAAATTGGTGGTGTCACAATTGCCATTGCTCTGTGGCTTTATTGCTCCTCTAATTAGTGTTTCTGTGTAGATAATGAGCTTACAGTTATGTCAGGCCTTATTACTACCTGATTCTGCCTTGTATTTTTCCAGAAATTGCATGTTAAGATTAGATGTACCTGTAAATCAAATCATTTGTTTCTGCATTTGTTTCTTTCTTACTTAAAGTTGGCTAATGAGATGAAACCAGAAGAGGAAACAGGACCTTGCTTTTTCTTTTTTTTTCCTTTCCTTTTTTTCTTTTTTTTGAGACAGAGTCTCTGTCACCTGGGCTAGAGTGCCGTAACATCAGCCTAGCCCACAGCAACCTCAAACTCCTGGGCTCAAGCAATCCTCCTGCCTCAGCCTCCCGAGTAGCTGGGACTATAGGCATGCACCACCATGCCAGGCTAATTTTTTCTATATATTTTTAGTTGGCCAATTAATTTCTTTCTGTTTTTAGTAGAGACGGGGTCTTGCTCTTGCCTACCTCGGCCTCCCAGAGTGCTAGGATTTACAGGCAAGATCCACTGCTCCCGGCTGGGACCTTGCTTTTTCAAAAGTGCTACATTTCAGGAATCATTCTGACTAAGGGGAGAGGTAGGGTAGGGAGTATGTAAAAGAAAAAAGAGGCAGTGGTTGATTTAAGTTTATCACCAATTCACTAGGAGAAGAGGAGCATCTCCTCCTAACACCTGCCCTTGCATGCCGCTATGTCCCTTCTGTGCGTCATTCAGCCATCTGGTAAATTGGCTGGGCCTGGTGCAGGGCCCTTGCATGTGCTCTATTGTGTACAGCCCTGCACACCTCTTCTGGAGCTGCCGAAGAGCAGCTGAGGAAAGGTTAATCGAATGCATATGTCATTCTGGCAGGACACTTGCTGGCATTAGCCCTGCCCCAAGGCCAATGGTAGGAGGGAGGGCTTTTGAGATGGGGGCTTATGGACATGGCTACTTAACAGTCAACACAGAAATATTTCAACATCTTAAAAAACAGGTGTGGCCATCTCAATGCAGATGGGCATTCCTGACTGTAGCCCACTTGCAGCTGGCCAGACCACATAAGAAGCTTTGCACCTCAATCACTGCCTGAGATCCAGACCTGCCTTCTGGACCCCTTTAGAATGCCATCAGGGCTCCTTCAAGTCTGTACCTCCTCTAGGCCTGCTGAGGTGCTGGCAGGTGGCCCCAGGCTCCTGCTTCTGGTGCCCACCCTTGCACCTCTGTGAGGAGCCCCCAGCCCCTCCAGCTGCACTTGGGCTCCCTGGCACGCGCCACAGGACTGAATGCCATTGCTTTCAGCAAGTCTCTCAGTGCTTTTGTAGCATAAGCCCCAGGCTGGGGGCTGTGGCATATTCAAGCATGAAGGCACACTGCAGATCTGCAGTCTAGTAAGGAAGAAAGACTCCTGCCACTGTTCAGTATTAGGAAAGTGAGGCAATCCAAGAATCCGGAGAGGGGTACTGGAGCTGACTCATGCATGTAAAAGAATAGTTTTGCTACATTAAATTTGTACCGCTAAACAATTTTTCTTTTGGGGATGGGGGTTTTTTAGAAAACATTTTTATTTTTTAATTGACATAATTGTGCATATTCATAGGGTACATAGTGATGTTTTGATACATGTAACACATAGTGATCAGATTCAGTGTAATTAGCATATCCATCATCTCAAACATTTATCATTTCTTTGTGTTGGGAATATTCAATATCCTTCTAGCTATTTGAAACTATGTAATATAAGACTGTTAACTATAGTCATCCCACATTGCTATAGAACACTAGAACTTATTGCTTCTGTCTAGCTGTAATTTTGTATCCTTTGACAAATCTCTCCCTGTCCCTTCCTCCCTGCTATGGGGATGGGTGTTTTTTCTTCTAGCACCTCAGTCACCTCTGCCAAAGTGGCCGTGAATGGCGTTCACCTGCGTTACCAGCAGACAGGAGAGGGAGAGCATGCGGTCCTGCTACTTCCTGGGATGTTGGGTCTGGACATTTTTTAATAGCTCTTACGTGCTGTATCATCTATGATGCATTCAAAATACTAGGTGCCAAACATTGATTATTAATTTTAGTGCTTTGCTGAAATGTTTGAAGCAATATTTGCCACAATCAAATATAAGTGATTTAGAAAAGTAGATAACTGTCTGCCACATGTATTTTTTATGCCTTTAAGTGCCCAGTTTTTCCCATGCAAGTGTACTATGAAACCACAGCTGCTCCCAATTTGAGGGGTGCCAGAGGTAAGGGAAGAAAGCTAGACAAAGGAAGAAGGTGAGTGGGTGACTGGCCATCCCAGTTTGCCTGGCATCGAGGAATTTTCCACGTGCTAAAACCAGTTTGGATTGCTCACCCTGTTGTGATTGATAATATGTTCAATTAATGTAAGAGTTAAGAAAAAAACATAAAGTCTTTTCCGAAAATCAAAATTAGATTAGCAGATTACCGTCTCTTAATGTATGAGGCATAATAAAGCCCACTGGGTCTCAGTCTCATTTTCAGAACAGTTGTTCAGATGTAGAAAGTTCAGGGGAATATTTCCAGTGATCTCAGGACATCCAAAGTTTGGTTTTAAAGGGGTTTAGTATTGTTGCTTTATTATTGAGTTAGTTAAATAATTCCCATATATTAGTCATCCCTCGGTATTTGTGGGAGATTGGTTCTAGGACCCTGCGTAAATCCAAAAATCCCCAGATGCTTAAGTTCCTGCTATAAAATGGCACAGTATTTGCATAACCTATGCACATCTTCCTGTATACCTTAAATCATCTCTAGTTTATGGATAATACCTAATACAATGTAAATGCTGTGTCAATGGTGGTTATACTATATTGTTTAGGGAATAATAACAATGAAAAAACTACATGTTCAGTACAGACCCAACCATCCATATTTTTTAAAATATTTTTTTGATCTGCAGTTGTTTGAATCCACAGATGTGAAAACCATGGATGTGGAGGGCTGACTGTACTTATTTCCTTGTGATTTGCTTATTTCTTCTAAAAGTAAAGTGCTAAAGTCGTTTCAATCAGTGGTGGTTCCACTTGACTGAGCCTCAGCTGATTGTGGTACTGTATGCTCTGAGTCTAGATAGTATCTTTGTTTCCCTAAACTGTTGTAATGAAAGAGGACACTCACTCCAGTGGCCTATGGAAAGCTAAAGTTAACTGTAAACAATGAATAATTTCCCAGCTTAGTTTTCCATTATTTCAGTATTGCAGTCATTATCCAGATATAAAAACTTCTACTGATTTAATTGTTGGTTATGTAAAACATTAGCACGATTCCAAAATTAAAAGATGGAGCAGTGAGATTCTGTCTCCTATCCCGCCCTCAGTATGCAGACCCCTCCCACAGGCTTCTCAGGTGTCACAAAGCAGTACCTATGCATATCTCTTCCTTGAACATGTTTTAAGGTTTTAGTATTCTGCAACTGTATGCATGTGTGCCAGAAAGCAAATGTCTTACTATTTATGAAGTTGATATTTTAGAGGGTTCCCTTTTCCTGTCTTCTCACCTTCCGCCCCTCCTGCAGAGCAGTTTCCCAGCAGAAGTCGCCCCAGGTCAGGGATCGTAAGAGAAGCCCCTGGGTCACAGCAGTAGATGTAGGCTAGAGATACATTGATTTGTTTTTGACTTGGGTTTTCTGAATGATTTACCTCATCTTGAAAAAGATATATCTTGCCAGGAAGAATAATGGGCCTTGATAATGTTAAATGATCTTGCACCATCGTGAAAGACATTTCAGACAAAGTGTTTAGTATTCATTGGTGGCCTGAGCTATGAGTCCTCAGAAATCAGTGGGCTTTACAGATAAGATGCTGAGTTTCCCCTGGACTAGGCTCTTTCAGAGTGCATGCTGCTCGCAGTGGGTGTGGGCACACCACACCTAGAGTGACCATGTGGCAGGGCTAGGGACTGCTGGTCAGGTCCAGCACAGGCCCAGGAATATAATTCTACTTGTTAACATAGGCTATTTTGAACTGTTTTGATGAAGCAAACTTTTATAATTTGATTTCTTCCTTCCATGTCCTCCCCCCATTTCAGCGTTTTAGTTTAGTTTTCTGTTTTTTAATTATAACTACAAAACAAAATATTTAGGGCTATTCACATTAGCTTAATTAAAAAATGTGGAATTTTAGAATTCTGCTTTGAATAAATAACTTGGACCAAATCTCATAAATTTTTTTACAGATAATATAGAGATATCTTTCATTTGTAAGTTATTACAAAAAAGAAAAAAAAACCAAAGCATATCATATGTATAATTTTATTTCTATACAGTTTCATTAATTCTTTTTTTTAAAAAAAGGAAGATTAAGTAAAGCCATATTGAAAGTACTGAAATAATAAGAGGACCAAAGAATCGAGCCCTCGGTCCTTCTCAAAATAGCCACCAGGGGGAGGTCGCAGGCAGATCCCAACTCCTGCGGGAAAGGCAGTCCGCCTGAGAGCGTGGCTTAGGTCCCTGGAAGACTACTTTCCTGATGGATTCTGGCGGCTAACTTGGAGTAGAGACTGGCTACTGTGCTTTAAGATTGTCGTTGCTTCTGTCTTCACTGCAATGTGTTTGATACAAGGAAAGCATTTGCCTGGGGTAACGGAGTGGCTGTTTTCAGGAAGTGGAGAGACTGATTTTGGACCCCAGCTCCAAAGCCTGAGTAAGAAGCTCTTCACAGTGGTCGCCTGGGATCCCCGAGGATATGGACATTCCAGACCCCCAGATCGAGATTTCCCAGTGGACTTTTTTGAAAGGGATGCAAAAGATGCTGTTGATTTGATGAAGGTGGGTCTCTTAGGGAGGCGCTCAGGGCAGGGAGGGTGGGTGGACCTGTCTGCATTTATTTTGTTTTATTGTTCTTTCTTTCTACAAAGCCAATACCATGGGGTTCCTATAGAAAATTCAAAGAGTTCAAATAGATGTAAAGAAGAAAGTTGAAATAGCTCACAATCCAGCTATCTAAAGACACCATTACTGAGACTTTAAGGCTCTGCCTTTCCGGCCAGCATTGTTATCAGACGACACCTGACATTTTTCCGCCTTACCATTTTCACTGCACAATTTGTTGAGGAGATACTTCCATGTCACCAAATACACATTTACATCAGTCTTAAGCCCATCAGGTGGATGTACTGTGTCTTACTTCACCCATCTTCTGATGGTAGATAACTAATTTAATTTTTTTTTTTTTTTGAGACAGAATCTCACTCTGTTGCCCTGGCTCGAGTGCCGTGGTGTCAGCCTCACTCACAGCAACCTCAAACTCCTGGGCTCAAGCGATCCTTCTGCTTCAGCCTCCCGAATAGCTGGGACTACAGGCATGCGCCTCCATGCCCAGCTAATTTTTTCTATTTTTGGTAGAGATGGGGTCTCTCTCTTGCTCAGGCTGGTCTCGAACTCCTGAGCTGAAGCGTCCTCCCGCCTTGGCCTCCCAGAGTGCTAGGATTACAGGCATGAGCCACCATGCCTCCGGCTAATTTATTTATATATATATATTTTTGTTTGTTTGTTTTTGTTTAGTTGTCCAGCTAATTTCTTTTTATTTTTTAGTAGAGACAGGCGTCTCACTCTTGCTCAGGCTGTTCTCGAACTGCTGAGCTCAAACCATCCTCCAGCCTCGGCCTCCCAGAGTACTAGGATTATAGGCATGAGCCACCACGCCCAGCCAACTAATTTAATTTTTAACTTGCCTTTTTTTGTGATTATAAATAGCACTGCAGTGAACATTCTGTTGTTCATGGCCATTTTAATTTTCATTTTTTTTGCCATTTTAAATAATGTTGTTGGCCGGGCGCGGTGGCTCACGCCTGTAATCCTAGCTCTCTGGGAGGCCGAGGCGGGCGGATCCTTTGAGTTCAGGAGTTCGAAACCAACCTGAGCAAGAGCGAGACCCCGTCTCTACTATAAATAGAAACAAATTAATTGGCCAACTAATATATATACAAAAAAAAAATTAGCCGGGCGTGGTGGTGCATGCCTGTAGTCCCAGCTACTCGGGAGGCTGAGGCAGAAGGATCGCTTGAGCCCAGGAGTTTGAGGTTGCTGTGAGCTAGGCTGACGCCACGGCACTCACTCTAGCCTGGGCAACAAAGCGAGACTCTGTCGCAAAAAAAAATAAATAAATAAATAAATAAATAATGTTGTTGTGGATGTCCTGGATGGAGCTCCTAGCACACTTGTGGGAAAGTGTCATATGAATTTAGGAAGCAACTTGCTGAGTGAAGAAGATGCAAATGTTCATTTTATAAGATAATGCCAAATTATTATCCATAGTGGTTATACCAATTTATAGTCCTGGCAGCAAATACCACTGACTAATATTTGTTAATTCTTTACCTTAAATATTCCTAGCCATTCTATTCTTACTTCTAGGCAGCCTCTCGCAGATGTAATCTTTGTCTGTTTCCTTGCCAAACACATTTTCAGATGCTGCTTGATTCACCCAAGGACTAACATAACCTCTTACCACACCTTTCGCTGACAGCCCAGTTCGAGCAATGCTACCCACAGGTGCAGTCAGTGGCTTTACCAGATGCCACACGTCACTTCCTCCAGCAGATCTCAAGGTCCCCTCTCTGCTCTACAGAACTGTTCTCAAAGTTCTTGCTCAGGCATGTGCATACTCTTGCACAGACACACACAGAGTATTTGTCATATCTAAGTATAACCGGTCTTTGTTGATTCTGGTTCCTTGAGATTTATCCAACCAGAAGATGTAGTTCCCTCATAATTCAGACCCATACTATATTCTTAGGTTTTTGTGACAATTATTACACCAAAATTAATTGAGAAAAAAGATTATGTAATCAAATGGTGGATGCTAGGATTTTTCTTTTATTGATAGTCTGACCCCACACCTGTATTGATTCTAAACATTAGTGGCTCTTGGGTTCTTTCAACAGAGGAGCAGTAACCTGTGCTGTGCATCTTGTATTTGTCACAGACACTGAAGTTTAAGAAGGTCTCTCTGCTGGGGTGGAGTGATGGCGGCATAACCGCACTCATTGCTGCTGCAAAATATCCCGCTTACATCCACAAGATGGTGATCTGGGGCGCCAACGCCTACGTCACTGCTGAGGACAGCGTGATTTATGAGGGTAGGTTCTGCCAACCGGAGATGCCCTGACAATGGATGATTCTCTTCTCTCTCCCCTTCTCATCTCTTATTTTGAGATGTGTTGACAAGTCATATCTGCTTCCAGTTCTCAACTGCAAGGTAGGAAAAATAATGAGTTCTCAGAAAAGTAATACAGTTTAACCAGTCTGAGTTTTAAAGCTTTCTATTTCCAGGAGTGAAACTTTCATGACTCAAGAAAAGGCTAAGTAAAAGCAGCATTTCCATTTACTACTGCTACTAGTGAACTTCAAGGAAGTGAGAGGTGATGTGCGATGTTATTTATAATTTCATTTAAAATAATGTGAGTATGAAAGGGAGCATTGAATTCAAATATGAAACCTTATATTTTGATTAAAGAATTTCTGTGCTATTCATATTTTTTAAGGTTATCCTTAAGGGTTTTCTTTGAGGTTTTTGGATGTACTGAAAAACTAAATCCAGCCTGCCTCCTGCCTCTGTAAAGCCTGGGCACTAATCAAGGAGGCTAGTGCTGTGAGTCACAGAGACCAAGCCTGGCGTCCCTCTGCTCCCAGCATTGCTGCCCAGGCCTGTGCTGGTGGCCACTCCATGTGAGTGACAGTTGACAGGCTCCAGGCACCCAGTCATGGAACTTTAGTCAGCGACTAAAGTTGCTCAGCTCCAGCCAGCCGCCCAAGTTGAGAGGACCAGGCTCTCAGGAGGAGAGAAGAGTGCACCAGAGTCTGGGAGCTGCTGGGGCAAAAAGTGAAAATTGACCTGGGCTACCCCACTGCCATCACCTGCCAGCCTGGCCACTGGGAACCTCCTTTTTATGCCAGTAGCTTTTTGTCCCAGTGTGATTCTAGTGGACCACACATGGCCCTTCCTAGGCAAGTCAGGTATCCCCCCCTCCTTTATATAAGTATCTACATAATATCTTTGATTTTTGTCTCTTGACCTACATAGCCTAAAATATTTACTCTGTGGCCCTTTAGAGAAAAAGTGTGCAGACCCCTGCACTAGAATATCCCAGGTCTGGTCTTTTTCAGCTATTCTGCAGTTCACATGACTTTTGACTAAGCTACTAACAGCAGGGTTCTGTTGTAGAATCTTAGTTCTTAACAGTCTGCTTTATAAAGAAATATGAAATGCGTAAAGGGTGAGTCTGATGTAGTTACCAGTGCTAACCTGTATTCCTGCTGTGCTTACTGTGTTCCCACCTGGTGGCTGTCTTGTGCAGAGTGAACCATTCCACTCTTGCTGGCATCCCCTCCCGCTGCCTCTACGAGACCAAGCAGGTGCCCCCTCTGCTCCCAGCATTGCTGTCCAGGGGCTGCGCTGGTGGCCACTGCATCTGAGTGACTGTTGGCAGTCACCAGGCACCAGTGAGGGAACTGTGCTCTCCCTTAGGTTTTCCCTCCCTCTCCTGTGTCATTGACCCCTCCCTACCAGATCCTTACTCTCAGCCCATAAAGGTAGGCATGGTTCCTCCTCCAAAAAGCTGCCCCTCTTACCTGTAGTTATTGCCTTCCCATTCTTTGTCTTTCCCCAACAAACTTATTGAAGGCTGTCTTCATTCTCTGCTTCTACATGCTCTTCTCCTCTCCTTCCTTCCTCAGTCCATTCTGGCCCACCTCCCACTCTGTCCCCTACAGCACACTCTACTGAAACTGCTCTCACAGAAATAAGTATCAATATAATCTTGTTGCCAAAGCCAGTGGATAATTTTAGAGTTGCTATGGTGTATCCTTACTACACTCTTAAAAGTCTATTGGGTCTGCAGTGATGCCCCTCTTTTTTCCCTTTGGTATGAGTAATTTGTGTCACCTCTCTTTTGTTCCTGGCCAGTCTGGCTAGAAGATTATCAATTTCATTTGTCTTTTCAAAGAACTAGATTTGGTTTTGTTGAATTATTTCTACTATTTTCTGTTTTTAATGTCATTATTTCTGTTCTTTTTAAAATTTTTTTCATTTTTAATTAGTATGGGTACATAATAGTTGTATGTCTTCATAGGGTACATGTGATGTTTTGATACAGGCATACAATGTGAATTAATCAAATCAGGCTAATTGGGGTATCATCACCTCAGGCATTTAACATTTCTTTGTTAGGAATATTCTAACTCACTCTCTTTTAGTTATTTTAAAGTATACCCTAACTTATTGTTGACTATAGTCACTGTGTGGTGCTATCAAATATTATTCATTCTACCTAACTATACAGTTGTACCCATTAACCATCCCCACTTTATCTTCCCTCTGTACTACCCTTCCCAGCCTCTGGTAACCATCATTCTACTCTCTGTCTCCATGAGCTCAATTGTTTTAATGTTTAGGTCACATATATGAGTGGGAACATGCAAGATTTGTTTTTCTGTGCTTGGCTTATTTCATTCAACATAAAGTCCTCTAGTTCCATCCATGTTGTTGCAAATGGCAAGATTTTTCTTTTCCATAGCTATATAATATTTTGTTGTGTCTATGTACCACAGTTTCTTTATCCATTCATATGTTGATGGACACTTAGGCTGATTTTATATCTTGGTTATTGTGGTTAATACTGCAATGAGAATGAGAGTACAAATACCTCTTCAATACCTTTGGATATCTACCCAGTGGTGGGATTACTGGGTCATATGGTAGTTCTATTTTTAGTTTTTTGAAGAACCTCCATACTGCTTTACATGGTAGTTGCACTAATTTACATTCCAACCAACAGTGTACAGAGTCCCCGTCTTCCCATCCTCACCAGCATTCATTATTGCCTGTCTTTTTGATAAAAGCCATTTTAACTGGGGTGAGATGATATCTCATTTTAGTTTTGATTTGCATTTCTCTGATAACTAAGGATGTTGAGGATTTTTTTGTACACCTGTTGGCCATTTGTATGTCTTTTTTTGAGAAATTTTTATTCAGATCCTTTGCCCATTTTTTAATCAGATTATTTGATTTTTTCCTATTGAGTTGTTGGAGCTCTTTATATGCATATATTCTAGTTATTAATCCTTTGTCAGATGGGTAATTTGCAGATATTTTCTCCCATTCTGTGGGTTGTCTCTTCACTTTCATTTGCTGTACAGAAACTTTTTAGCTTTATGTGATCCCATTTGTCCAATTTTGCTTTGGCTGCCTGTGCTTTGGGGGTATTACTCAAGGAGTCCTTGGCCAGACCAGTGTACTAAAGCATTTCCCCAATGATTTCTTTTAGTAGTTTCATGTCTTAGATTTAAGTCATTAATCCATTTTTGTTTGATTTTTGTATATGGAGCGAGATAAGGGTCCAGTTTCATTCTTTTGCATATGGATGTCCAGTTTTCCCAGCACCACTTACTGAAGAGACTGTCCTTTCCCCACTGTATGTTCTTGGCACCTTTGTTGAATATAAGTTCACTATAGATGTGTAGATTTATTTCTGGGTTCTCAAATCTGTTCCATTGGTCTATGTGTCTGTTTTTATGCCAGTACCATGTTGTTTTAGTTATTATCTCTTTATTATTATCTTCCTTTGAGTTTTAATTTGCTTCCTTCTCCCTACCCCCTGTCTCAAAGTAGAAGCTTAGCTTATTGATTTGAGACCTCTTCTCCTTCCTAATATAAGCATTTAATGCTATAGATTTCTCTCTAAGCACTGCTACATCTAAACAGTCTACAAATTTTGATATGTTGTATTTTTATTCAGTTAAAAATATTTTCTAATATGTCTTCAGAGTTCCTCTTTCACCCATGGTTATTTAGAAGTATATTATTTAATTTCCAATTATTTGAGGTTTCCAAGAAACCTTTCTGTTATTGAAATCTAGTTTAATCCCATTGGTTCAGAAAACACACATTGCATGATTTTAATTCTTTTGAATGTATTATGGTTTGTTTTATGCCCGAGAATGTGGTCTTCCTTGTTCTAAAACTGAACTTATTATTTCATGGCCCTTCCCACACCCACCGTCACTGTCTCAGGGATGGCACCCAGTGTGCCGGTCATCTAAGCCAGAGTCATCCCTCAGGGCCCAGTCCTCCTCTCCCTCTGCATTTAACTCTGGCCGCATGCTGCTGGTGCCAGGTTCGTGCTGCCTCTCAAGTTATCCCCGCCTCCCTCCCATCATTCTCCTGAGAGGCTCTTGGCCTCTCAGGGTAGGTTTGTCCTCCATAGGAGAGTTTCCTTTCCAAGGCAAAAATCTGATCATTCTACTGCAGTACTTAAAACTCTTCAGTAACTTAAATCCAAGCAGCATGTCCAGCCTCATCTCCCTTTTCCCTCATCCTTCTGGGCCATCTCCCTCATGGGGTAAGTCACCGTTCCCGAAACCAGCTCTCCTCTTCATGCCTCTTTGCCTTTGTTTCTGCTGACCTGCTGTGAGCACTGGCCTGAGGTGGCCCCCTTCTCCTCAGTAAGGCATCTTGACCCCTGACCCAGCTCTGGGGGCACTTTGTCTGGGACAGCATCCCAAGTGCTGATACCCAATGGTGCCCACCCTTCGGGGCCGGTGATGCTATGCACATGCCTGCATCGTGGCCCGTGGTCCCAGCACTGTCCTCTTCCTACACTCTCGCCTCAGTCACTGCAGAGGGAACGCACTCTGCAACTGCCCTGACTTTCCTTCCTCCGTGAGAACAGAACAAAACTCCTCTCCATCTCACGGCCCTCTTTACTGTCCGACATATCTCTGCTTCCCTTCTGGGCTGTTTCCACTTCCCTGTTCCCCAGTCTCTCCTAACTTGCGTCAAGGTGGCTCTGACCTTCTAGGCAGTGGAGACAGAGCCTTCGTGTCACCAAACCCCCAGACACGCCCCTGCCTGTGTTCCCTGGTCGTTCTGCAGTATTTGAGGATGTGCTCATGATGTGTGGTCGTAGCGTGTTGATCACACTCTCTTTTTGAAGCTTTCTCTGTCTTGAAGTTCTTGCCACCGTGTCCTCCCTACTTACCCCTTCTGTCTCCGGCTGTTCTCTGGCTGTGACATGTGCCCACTTCCTTCTGTGGGCTGTGATATTGGGCGTCTTCCAGGCGCTGTCCTCGGTGCTCTGCTCTTCTGCTCTCAAAACCCGAGTAGCTGCACTCAGCCCCTGGTTACACCTAACTCCCAAATCCCACACAGTCAACTTTTTTATTGCCTTATTCAACTTTTTTATTGCCTTATTCAACTTTTTATTCAATTTTATTATCCGGTTGCCCTACCTTAAACTCAGTCTGTCTAAAATTGAACACATAATCTTCCCTCTAGACCTGTTCCTCCTGCTAAATTCTTTATCTTGGTAAATGATACCCACTGGAATATACTATTTCTCCCACAAAAGAACATTTTTAATTACTGTTTATCGAGTGTCTGCCATGAGCTCAAGTCTTCAGCCATACACCATCCTCGGAGGGTAGCTGTTGCCCAGCCTGCTCCGCAGATAGGGAACGGGGCTCAGGGAAGTGCAGACCTGCCGCAGTGGCGCAGCTGGCAGGGCGGGCTCAGGCCTGGCTCTGCATTGTGCTGTGTGGTGACCTCCACACAGCACCCTCCTGCCGCTCCGCTCCACCCCTCCTCTTTGCTTTTTGTGGACCCAACTTGCACTCCCTCCTCTCCACACTGCTCTGACAGTGATGTCATGGCATCTTACTTGAAAAGCCTTCAAGGACACCCCACAGCTTTCCAGGTAAAGTCCAAACTGCTAGGCTTTGTTCATCAGCAAGTGGCCCGAGACTGTGCCTCTGCAGGCCACCTCCCCACACTTCCGCCTCCAGCCTTGCCATGTGAAACACCTGCTTCCTGCTTCCTGGGGCCTGTGAGCGGGAGCTGCAAAGTGCACGGGCCCTGCTGCTTGCTCCCTTCCTTGCTGGCTTCTGCTCCCCCTGACTTAACTCAAGCACCACATCTCCGAGAGAGCCGCCACCACCACCACTCCTTCCCCACCGCCCCTTTGGGCTCACAGAGCCGTTCTGTTTAGGCAGTCTATTTCCACTGTTGCCAGGAGCATTCTTGTACCTGCCTCCTGGGGCGTAGGAGCAACAGTGTCTCTAGGGTCCAAGCCCACAAGTGAAATTGCTGAGTGTTGTGGGCAGATATACCACATTACAAGTGACAGACTATTTTCTAACGATAAATTTACACTTCCACCAGCAAGATACAAGATTCCTTAACGTCTTCAATAAAAACTTGAAATTGGCCAGGTGAGGTGACTCACGCCTGTAATCCTAGCACTCTGGGAGGCCAAGGCAGGCAGATCGCTCAAGGTCAGGAATTCGAAACCAGCTTGAGCAAAAACGAGACCCCCATCTCTACTAAAAATAGAAAGAAATTAATTGGCCAACTAAAAATATATAGAAAAAATTAGCCGGGCTTGGTGGCGCATGCCTGTAGTCCCAGCTACTCGGGAGGCTGAGGTAGAAAAATCGCTTGAGCCCAGGAGTTTGAGGTTGCTGTGAGCTAGGCTGATGCCACGGTACTCTAGCCCAGGCAACAGAGTGAGACTCTGTCTCAAAAAAAAAAAAAAAACAACTTGAAATTGTCAGACTAGTCACTCAAAGATGAGTGTAAAGTATCTTTTTGTGGTCTTAATTTGCATTTTCCTATTACTAATAAGATTGAAAATCTTTTTATGTGTTTATTCACCATTTGGGCTTCTTCCATATTATGAAAGATATTCATATCTTTATTGATTTTTAAATTTTTATTAGGTAACATTTCATACATATAATACCACCTGGCCAACAGGTATACAATTTTAAGTGTAACAGCAAAACAGGCCAGGTGTGGTGGCTCCTACCTATAATCCCAGCACTTTGGGAGGCTGAGATGGGAGGATTGCTTGAACCCAGGAGTTTGAGGTCGCAGTGAGCTATGATGATGCCACTGCACTCGAGCCCAAGCAACACAGCAAGACTCTGTCTCAAAAACAAAAACAAAACCCATAAAATAACAAAACAAACACCCCAAGGACTCTACACCCAACCCAAGATTAGCACAGTTCCAATATTGTCACAGTGTTACTAATGTGTAGTTTTTAAAAAAATAATCTAATTAATAACCCCTTGAAAGGTAGTTGTGTTGCAAATATCTTTTCACAGCCTGTGGCCTGTCTTTTCACTTTCTTTATGGACACAACTGTTTAATATTAATGTAAGGAAATGCCATAGTGTTTCATATTCTCATTAGCTTGGCGGTTTTGTTTGGAGGTTCGCCATCAGGTTTGCATGTGTCTTTATGCACCTGTCTTTTCAATTCAGGTGTTCCTTCTGAAAGCTTCTCTCTTCTTCTTGAAGTTATTTTTAGAAGTTCTTTAAGGACAGCCCATTAATAGTCACCTCAGTTTTTACCTAAAACTATCTTTATTTCGCCCTCCTTGAGGGGCTGTTTGGCTGGCTGTGAACCTGCAGGAGGATGGTCACTTCTCTGTAACTCTGCAGCCTTCTGCCTCCCTCTGTGCTCAGGGCCTGAGCTTCCTGTCCCACGCCCTGGCTGGGTGGGGGTGCTGAGCCTCCCTGCTCTGCCTGTGTTTTCAGATTTTCCGTCAACCTTTGCTGCAGGCTGTTTCGCTATACTGCGTCTAAGTGCGGGTTTCTTTTTGTTCATCCTGTTGGGAATACATTTGACTTTTGTTCATGGATTCTTTGATCACTTCTGAAAACGTGCACTGCCATTCTTGCAGTGTTGAGCCTCCTTCACTGCCCCGTCCCCTCCTCCGGTCCCGGCAGGCTTCCATGGCCTCGGCTATCTGTCTTCCATGTCTCTTGTGCTTCTGTCTCTGTCCCGTTCTACATAATTAATTGAGATTTCTTACCTAGTTTTATAGTTTTTTCATCAACTTTAAAAAAATTCTGTTTATTTTGTGATCTTTGTTTAGGAGCTAATGTTTGCTTACTCTTAAATCTGGAAACAAACAAAACAGTGAGCATAAATTGAGAATGCTTTCCTTCAGAGAAGAGTTGCATTTGCTGCTCTTGGGAACCAGAGGAGCATACCAAGTTGGGGCCAGTTTTAGCTCAGCTGAAACCAGGAATGTCAGGCTTGGCCTTCACCAGCCACCCGGCTGACGGCTGCATCTCCTCTCGGAGCAGCCCTGCCTCTGGGGTCTTCCTTGGCTCTGTTTTCAGGCCTTTTTTCTCCTACACAAACACACTCAGACCCTCTCATACCCTAGTTTCCGTTGATCACTGCAGCTTCAACAATGCAACAAAACTATGTTTTGAGAAAGAACTAGTTGTTCTCCTGCTAGAAGGGCTTTCAGAGGGTGCGGTCTGCCATATGGCCAGAAGAGAAGCATCTACGGGGAATCTTTTTACTGTCTTCCACTGTCGTGCTGGGCTTTCTGTCCTCCTCTCCCTCCCCGATTTTTCTTTTTCTTCTTCCCAAATCTCCTCCCCACCTCTTAATTTTTTAATTGCTTCTCCACACCCCTCATCTCTTCACTATTGTGCAGAGCAGTTCGGCCGCCCTCAGCCTCTGTGTTCAGCTCACTCCGCTACCGCCAGCAGTGTGAGGCAGTCAGAGGCAGGCACCGTCTCGCGCGGGGATCCAGCCTGCATAGGCAGGTGCAGCTGTGAGCAGCAGTTTTTCCTCCACTCGATTATTCCAGTTCACTGAGTACACACTGAGTACCTGTGGGCTCCTGGCATCCGGAGCCCTGTATAGATTATTGTTCGATGGGCATTTATTTCATTAGTGTCATATTGTCTTCCAGGTGTACTGTTCAGTAGAAGCACTGTATTAAAAGCCCTCAATAAGCAATATTTAATATACTCAAAAGCATTTGAATTTTTAAATTATCAGTGTGTTTAAGAAATATGGGAAATATTGGGCTAAGTAATTGTATTTGTTGATTCATTTTAAAGGTTGTTTTCAGCTGTTATTCCTTTCCAACTAGTGCATCAGCTATAATATAGTTTGAAGTTGGGAGTTAGCCTTTTACACCCACCCATATTGTTTCAGTGGCAGAAATTAGAATGAATAATTTGTGTACATTTTTCAATATACATAAAAATGAAACTCAGCAAAAAGTCCTCTTTTACAAATAATATCACTCTCACTCAAGTGACCCTAATTAGAGGAATATTTTCTTTTATCATATACCCTTAACAGAAAGCATTAAGTGAAGGTCTCATTTTGTTCACTTGGTAAGTATTTATTGTGGGCTTGTTGTGTGGGAGGTCCTGGTCTAGGCCCTGGGGTGCAGTCAGGGGCAAAGCACAGTCCCTTACAATGGGCATGTGACCTAGGCAGGGGCAGGCGCTCAGCCGTGGGTGCAGGAGACGCTGCAAAGCAGTGGGAAGTGCCAAGCAGAGGAGAGGGAGGGAAGGGCCTGGGCGGTGGAAAAGCGTTGCAGGCAGACAGAGCAGTGAGCATAAGGCTCACAGGTGGCTCATGCTCGGAAGATTTCAGCATAATACCTTAGTATGAGACTGAACTTATCCTTGTCTATGCTTCTGTTTTTCAGGCATCCGAGATGTTTCTAAATGGAGTGAGAGAACAAGAAAGCCTCTAGAAGCCCTATATGGGTATGACTACTTTGCCAGAACCTGTGAGAAGTGGGTGGATGGCATAGGACAGTTTAAACATCAACCAGATGGTAGGTTACCTGGACTACTGAAGGGTTGCTCTGTGGATTAGAGAGGGATCTTCAGTTCCTCCCTTGATGTTGCAGAGTTCCTCAGTGGCTCCTCAGTCCACCCATTGGCCTTCCACACTCACGTGTGCACAGAGAATACTAGTTACTGTGTACAATGCACGCTCTCGCACAAGCAATCAGCCTTAACCTAGAGATAGGACTGCTTGTCTAAAGGGTGACATTCTTGAGTCTTTAATAGCAGACTGTTCTTTTTTTCCTTTTAACTCTTTGTGTGTATGATGATAAAATAATTCTCCAGAAGCCTTGGACAGTTCCTATTTTCTAATTCCAGAATGGGTTATGAGAAAACAAATAAGCCACAATATATACACTGTATTTTTCCTGTTTACACATTTAGATGTGTCACACCACTAGGATACTCTGTTACCAGGACAAAAAAAAAGAAGGGAATTTCTGTCATAATCTTCGGCCCCAGCAGAATTAGTATGAGGAGGAAAATACTCAGTTATTTTTCCATCTTCAGAACTAAGTCATATGATCTCAGCTATGAACAAATGTCTGATATTCTTTATCCGAAAAATTAACAAGACTTCCATTAACAGTAAGAGTTGACATTTTTAGGAGAAATTTTAAATTAAAGTTTGTTTTTATTCAGCTATTAATGTTCATAATGTCTCATTTTTCTTTTCTTTTTTTTAATTGCTGAAAAAATAGAGTAGCTAAGATCTAATCTTGGAGTACATTGTTACAAATTGTGATTGAAGGACCAGTTTCATCTGTTAGGTAATCATTTCCTATATGAGTCATGTGTCAAAACTTTCACAATGAAAAGGACTTTTAGAAATGTTACTTTTCTGGTTTAAGTTGAAAACAGCACATATATGCCTTATAATGATCCTGTTCAAATGCAGTATCCGCCCATAAAAACAAGTCTTTGAAATGTGTTTCTCTTTGTTCCTAAAACAAAAAATGCCATAAAGCAATGTTTGAAACAGTTCTCCATTAAAGAGAGTGACTTTGTAAAATGTAAAATTTCATGCCATATGGAAGAGAGCAGTGAAAAGATAGGGAGATTTAAAAGCAGAAATAGAGTTAAATTAGTAATTCAAAAATATGTCTTTTTTTTTGAGACAGAGTCTCACTTTGTTGCTAGAGTGAGTGTCGTGGCATCAGCCTAGCTCACAGCAACCTCAAACTCCTGGGCTCAAGCAATCCTTCTGCCTCAGCCTCCCAAGTAGCTGGGACTACAGGCATGCGCCACCATGCCCGGCTTATTTTTTCTATATATTAGTTGGCCAATTAATTTCTTTCTATTTATAGTAGAAACGGGGTCTCGCTCTTGCTCAGGGTGGTTTTGAACTCCTGACCTCGAGCAATCCGCCTGCCTCGGCCTCCCAGAGTGCTGGGATTACAGGCGTGAGCCACTGCACCCGGCCCAAAAATATGTCTTGATATAGACTTATCCCCATTCTGTACTAATTAATTTGATAGGAGCCCTTCTTCCATAATTGTACAGTTAAGTTTATGGGTACTCACTTTAGGGGTTAATTGCACAGCTTTGGAGTCAGGTGGGCCTACGCGTGAATTCTGGTTTTGACCCTGGCTTGCTGTCGGAATGGATTTGGGCAGATGACTTAGCATCTCAAAGCTACAGTTTCCTGTCTATTTCCTGGGAGAAACTACCTGCCTCATTAAGCTGTGGTGGGGATTCAGTGAGATACTATTTGTTCAGCTTCGGTGTAGGTCCAAGGACAAAGTAAGTGCTTAATGAAAGGTTGGTATTACTGTATGGAAGTACTTAATGCACAAATAACTGTGGGTGCTCAATGAGTTGAAACATGCAGGCACCATAAGTGCTTAACAGATACGAAGTTTCGTAAACAGTTGTTGACTCAAAGTGAGCACTCACTGACTTTCATTATCATCAGTTGATTATACATTTGGCAGGTGTGTGTCATCGAAGGACAGGAGAGAGAAGCTTAAGAGGCCTCGAGTATTTCCATAGTCAACTGGTCCCCTTCTCGTGTAGCAAGCAGTGACCCCCAGCTGAAGAGGAGGGGAGAGGCCTGGGCAGGGCAGGGCAGGGCGGCATGCAGAGACTGGGCCCAGCCCTCGCAGACAGCAGCGCTTTCCTCTAGACACAGGCGGAAGGAGGGGCGGGGGTGGGAGTAGCTACATTAGGATACCAGGACCCCTAGGTATGGCTCTCTTTATAGCCTCATGGCAACCCCAAGGAAATTATGAGTGTCCCTGTTTGAGGCTTAAGCTCAAAGTGGGTAAGGAGCCACCAAGGTCTCATAGGGCAGGAAATGGCAGTTCAGGGACTATAGCCCAGTTTGTACCAAAATTGCCTCAGAAATGTCCTTACAGTCCCCAAAGGATGTTGGAGTGTCACAGAGGCATGAGTGGTGACCTTCTTTACCATGTGCAAATTGCAGGTTCCTTGTGAGGTACATGTGCTTGGAGGGCTGGCTGGGGCCCCCGCCAACCTTCCAGACAAGATTTGCAGGAAAAAGCTTTCCAGGTGTCAAGCACCCACTGCTGCTCTGCACATTGGGAACTGCCCTGTGTAATATAAAAGGTTACGGGGGTTTTGTTTGGTTGATTTTCCTACTGTTTGATATGAATTGTGGCAAAGCCACTTGTTTACTAGTAGAGCTCAAAAACAAACAAAAAATAGCAGAAGAACAGAAAAGGAAACCCAAAGAAAGAACCCCAGTCACAACTACTGTTCGAATCCAACTACTGTTTTTACAGACAGAGAAACTGAGGAGCAAAGAGCGGCATGGCTTGCCAAGTTGTGTGTCTTTTCACCTCCTAGAACAGTGTTTGTCCTTCAGGTAATATCTGCCGGCACTTGCTGCCCCTGGTCCAGTGCCCCACCTTGATTGTGCACGGGGAGAAGGATCCTCTGGTCCCACGATTTCATGCCGACTTCATACATGAGCACGTGAAAGGGTCGCGGTAAGTCCAGGCATCACCTTAGCACTCCCTGCCCCAGAAGCCCAGAGTAAGCTGGAGAAGCTACCAGTAGGATAAGAAGCAGGAGAAGTTCCTCCATTTTGCCAGTGTCAGCCAATACTACTACTTTATTTAGGATGCCACGGAGGACAGGAGCTCTGAACTGCGGGTAATGGATAATCAGAAGGAAAGGAATTCTGAGATAAATGTCTCTCATTGTTTCTGTGGCTGGCAAATGTGCTAATAGGTGTTAGGTTCTATAACATTGGTGACAACTTCAATTTATATCAATCATTGTTAACTGAAACAATTTCGTATAATTTGGGAATTTTCAGTACAGTTTTATACTATTATAGAAGCACTAACTACCCAGTAAAATAAATTTGTAAAACCAAAAGAAGAAAACAGATTGCTCATTGCTTGCCAGCCATTAAATACTATCATTATTAGCATTTTTGTACCTAGATATAATCATATCCTATATTCAACTCTGAATCCTGCTGTTTTTTCCCCACTTAAAATTACTTTGTAAACTTTGGGTTTTTTTGTGTTTTTTTCTGAGACAGAGTCTCACTCTGTTGCCCAGGCTAGAGTACTGTGGCGTCAGCTTAGCTCACAGCAACCGCAAACTCCTGGGCTCAGGCAATCCTTCTGCCTCAGCCTCCTGAGTAGCTGGGACTACAGGCACGGGCGACCATGCCCAGCTAATTTTTTCTATATATTTTTAGTTGGCCAATTAATTTCTTTCTATTTTTAGTAGAGACGGGATCTCACTCTTGCTCAGGCTAGTTTCGAACTCCTGACTGCAAGCAATCCTCCAGCCTCAGCCTCCCAGAATGCTAGGATTACAGACGTGAGCCACCACGCCCGGCCTACTTTGTAAACTTTTATTAAATAAGTTATTTCAGCCTCGAATATGGACACACCATAATGAGAAACCTATTGTTCAAAGTCACAAAATACCAACATATGCCAAGCCATGTTGGTGGCTCACTTGATTAAAGAGCAGGTACATATCATGTGGTTTGTTTTTTTTTGTTTTTTCTTTTTTTTGAGACAGAATGTCACTCTGTTGCCCGGGCTAGAGTGCCGTGGCATCAGCCTGGCTCATAGCAACCACAAACTCCTGGGCTCAAGCAATCCTCCTGCCTTAGCCTCCCAAGTAGCTGGGACTACAGGCATGCGCCACCATGCCTGGCTAATTTTTTCTATGTATTTTTAGTTGTTGGTTAATTTCTTTCTATTTATAGTAGAGATGGAGTCTCGCTCTTGCTCAGGCTGGTCTTGAACTCCTGAGCTCAAACAATCCGCCCACCTCAGCCTCCCAGAGTGCTAGGATTATAGGCGTGAGCCACCATGCCCGGCCTTCACGTGTTCTCTTAATCCTTATTTCTGCCAACTGACCTTGGACATCAGAGAATCTTAAAAGATATATCAGCAGAAATTCTGTTATTCAGGCCCATAAATTTTTGTATGAAATAGAAGTTTATATTTTAAATACTTTGGCTGACACAGTAGCCAGCTTTTGTTGGCACTTTTATCTGGATGGAAATTCAAAATTGAATAAGTTCATCATCTCCTTTACATGCAGTGGATTTGTATCCTGGGGGTGAAAATGAGGGGTAACTGGGAGATGAGGGGCCCGATTTGTTTTTTTAGAAAATAAACATCCAACTGAGCCTTGATCCCTTCAGAGCCTATATATTAATTTTACACATGTCTGAATCACTCAAGACAACTTCAGAATTCTAGGGAATTCTTTTGAAGTTGGATTTATTAGCAACTTCCCTCCCTCCTTTTCTTCGTCCTTTCTCTCTCCCCCACTTCCTTTCCTTCCATGAGCTAGTTTCTGATTCCTGCTGAGGGCAGCACTACTCTGATGGTTAGTGGTGGTCCTCCCTGTCCCCAAGCCCCCACAGTCCCACAGGGAAAGCAGGCACAGAAACAGTTCCACTGCTTCCTAAGATTCTATTCTGTGAGCTACTCAATAACAGATGTCTATGATTTTTTTTTTTTTTTTTTTGAGACAGAGTCTCACTTTGTTGCCCCAGCTAGAGTGCCGTGGCATCAGCCTAGCTCACAGCAACCTCAAACTCCTGGGCTCAAGTGATCCTCCTGCCTCAGCCTCCCAAGTAGCTGGGACTACAGGCATGCACCACCATGCCTGGCTAATTTTTTCTGTATGTTTTTAGTTGTCCAGCTAATTTCTTTATATATATATTTTTAGTACAGACGGGGTCTCACTCTTGCTCAGGCTGGTCTTGAACTCCTGAGCTCAAACGATCCACCTGCCTCGGCCTCCCAGAGTGCTGGATTACAGGCGTGACCCCACCGTGCCCAGCCAAGAATTTTAAATGGAGAAAAATGCTTCTTAGAGTGTGATAAAATACAGTTACCATAAACCTTTATAATTCCTATATCCATATAGCATTTTTTAAAAACTAAAAGGTATCTCTTTATTCCACATACTAATATTTCCTCCTTTAACATTTCAGTCATGCATCAGAAAATACATTTGAGCATGTGTAATGAATAACCCGTTTGCTTGGAATATAGAGTAAGTGAAGAATAAAGGTAGAAGTTAGGTTACCATTATATTGTAGGTGGACATAAAGGTTTAGTGGAGAAGTTTATTAATGTATTTAGTAGGCAATAAAAGATATTTTCAAACTAGACTTTTATAAAATTATAATACTAAGTCATGTTCATGGTATAGAATTCAAGTAGTATACTTATTAATCCTTCTGAAAGTTTTCTATACAATCTCAATTTTGTGTTTTATTATATATATTTGCAGTGTACAAGATAATGTTTCCATATAAACTTTTATACTTTAAAAGCATTTACATATAATAGCTAGTTATACTTCACAAACAAACTTATGAAAAAATATTACCCATTTTACAGATAAGAAATCAGGGTTGAGAGATGTTAAGCATTCTTTCAAGGTTGCATAGCTAGTAAATGACAAATCCTAGATTTTTTCCCTCCTAATATAGTGCTTTTCCACCATTGCACAGTTGCCATTTAAAAGCATACTCTTAATATGATGATAAGATGCCTAGAATCATATACTAGGTGACCTGGTTAATTGTCTTCTAGCTTCAGAAATGACAGGTTTTTGCACACTGACACACTTAGTAACTGCAGTGTGTGCCCTTAAAGAGCCAGGTTCAATAACAGTCAGCCTGCGAGAACATTTAATTTAGGAATTCTGTTCCAGACCCATCTCCTAGCAACAAGGTACACCAGTATGGGAGAAAAATAAACCCCTACCAAGCAGATGTTAATTGTTTCAGTAGACTATTTTATGGAAGATCATTTGTAAGAGCAATAATCTTTAGAACAAATGGATTGAGGGTAAAGTGTTATTAGCAATAACTGTCTAAAACGGCTTGTATTTTCCTTACTGCCTTCCTCTGCTGTGAGAGCCTTTTATATTAGGCATGATCTACCATGGTTTATTCTGGAACCCCCACAAAGGGAAGGTGGATTCTTTGAATACAAAATCTACTGTGTTCTTGCACCGGCCATCTGACAACAGAGGAACAACTGCAGTAAACTTGATAGTGTGTTACCTTGCAGGTACATTTTTTAAGTTAAACTTAATGCACAGTCTATCCTTCACAAGAAGGATATTATTACTATTTCCTTTACCAAGAAAATACATATTATATGTGAAGCAAACATCCTCAGAAGAGGCCACCGAAGGTAGAGCTGCTCTGCAGATCTGCTGCCAGCTCCTGTTAGTTTTGTCTTCCCTCATAGGAAGTCTCAAAGCAAAGAGCCCTTAGAGACATTCAAGTTCATGTTTTTGTTTGGTTTTGTTTTTGTATTTTTTTTTTTTTTTTTTTTTTAGAGACAAGATCTCATTGCTTACCCAGGCTAGAGTATAGTTGGTATGATCAAACTCCTGGCTCAAGTGATCCTTCTCCCTCAGTTATCCTGAGTAGCTGGACTATGCGTGTTGCCTCATGCCCAGCTAATTTAAAATTTTGTGGCATGGGTCTCACTATTGTTGCAGGCCGTCTGAACTCTGCCTCAAGAAATCCTCACCTTGCCTCCTGAGTAGCTGGGATTATAGGCATGAGCCACACACCCACCAAGTTCAGTGGTTTACAATTCGTTTTAGGTAGTTGACAAACTCTTGTGTGGGAAGTTAAGATGTAGAACACAAAATGAGAGGCTGCTCAGATCACAGCAAGCCGT